CCCTTGGCTCCTCTCATGCCTCGTCGGGTCAGTGTGCTTTGTTTAGATGAGGCTTTAAAGCTCTGCAGTCTTTTACGGGACTAAATTGGCGAGATGAAAGCCTTCGGTGCAGACGGACGAGTTCCGTGGTGTTGCTCCCCACAGATGCGGATGCCTGAGGTTGGTCTGTGTGGTGGCTGTACCTGGGAAGCCTCGGCTGCCACAGCGTGGTACCACATGTCAACCACAGCTTCCACTGGGGCCGTCTCAGCGTGACAATGATGGATGCAGACATTTATCCTTGCTTTTTATAGCAAGAGCAGCTTTATGTGCAGGAGTATCAAAACCTGCAACTTTCTTCCTCCTGTTAAGCACTCATGATAGTTTGCAGCTGTGGGTAATATCACCTGCTGCTCTCTAGGAAAGTGGCTGGTGCTCTGAAGGCGTGAAGACAAGGCCATGGCGAGCCAGCAAGGCAGTCCCTGTGAGCTGGGCCTCACTGGCTGCACCTGCGGCTGTTATGCCCTCAGCCTCTTCCGTGGCCAGCACCGCTGATCCTGAGAAGTGCCTGTGTGGCACTGAGTGCAGCACTGCCTGGCACCACACACCTCAGACCCACTCTCTGCCAGCTCTGAGTCCGTCACCAGCTCAGCACGGGTGCCCCTGTGAGGAACAGTAAACCTGGGAGCGTTTGTGGTCTCCCTCCGGTGCAGGCCAACGCTGTGCTCCAGGCAGGAGGGTGGCTGGGCCGATGGGGAGGTGACAGTGACAGATCCCAGACCTTCCTCTGCAGAGTCTCCTGGGCACTCCCTACATCACCGTCACCTCCAGGCTGTGGTGGAGTTCCCTGGCTGAGGCACTTCCCTGCAGACTAAGCAGCGGTTAATTTATGTTTCTGTACAGTTCATGTTTTTATATTAACAAATGTTTCTTCCCGAATTTAAGGACTGGTTAGCTTGCTTGCTTATGGCAACAGAGGCAGTAGTTGTGAGTGCTGGTGGCTGGATGTTGTCCAGCTGGGGATCGCAGGTGACAACCCAGGTGCTTAGAGCCCAAGGATCGCCTGCCTGGTCCCTCTTCTCTGCTCTCCAAGGCCTTCGCTTGCTGTGTGTGTTAGCAGTGCCATTTTAGCAAGTGTTACATGGGAAAAGCTTCATTCCTGTGGTTAGAAAGTTTCACAAAAAGACATATAAATTCTTTGTTTGTGACATCAAAGAAATCATTTTGTTCTGTGGTAAATGAGCGGCTGACTCTTCAGGCCCAGGGCCATGCAGATACACACTGCTGCTTCTGAGGACAGGGAGCCCGACTTTGTCCAGCATGGGAAAGGTTTTTAAAATGAGGACTCTTGTTGTGATGTCTTCGTAATTTATTAAAAAGATTTACATTTCTAGTGCCACAGCGTGTTCTTTGTGGGCTCATTTGTCAGTGGGTATTAATTGATTGAATAGTTTTTCTTAAAATGCATACCATTGAATGAGATGCTATGAGCACTTCACTGCTATCTCAGGAATCTCCCTATAACAGAATATATTGACAGGGTTGCCATGGCGTTTTTATTGCTCTGGATTTCTGCCAGAATACTGTAAATAGTTGAAAAGGCAAGAGGATTACCATTAGTACAGTTACTCATGGGTAGGCCTGCTGCAAGTTGTTTGCTTGCTGCAGAATGAAAAATAGGTTGGCAGGATCTTTTCGTTGTTGTTTGGCCTTTTCCGTGCTTGGTGGATATTGCCTGATAAAAGGCATTTTTGTGGGCTGTTAGCTTTGCAGTCTTTGGGGTTTATAAATATGTCTCTATACATACTGTTTTCCATTATTTAGGTTGTGGCAATCCCACAAACTGATTCATTTCAAACACCTGTGGATGCAGTCTCTCACTTTAATTGCTCTCCTTTTCAGCCATTTTGTTTCTATAAGCTCTGATTGTGATTCATCATGAAAATGCTATGGAAATAAGGCTGTAATTTTTCCATTTTTTGCTATTCAAAATTCTTCTCTCTGAATAATTAATCTGTGATGTGGATGCTAAGTATCTGTCCCTGATGAGAAGATCCACATTTGTGGAGGCAAAAATTGGAAATTTTTATTACCATTACCTGAAATTCTTTGAAATTGATCATTGTTTTTGAAATTGATCATTGCTCCTCTCTAAGTGGAAGAAGAGGAATTGCAGTTTGATTTCACTCCAGTGACTTTTTTTTCTGTTACTGGATGGGGATGGGTCAGGGAGACTACGTTTTTACCCGAGACTTCAGCAAGGTATGGAGGCTGTGCAGAGAGGGACATGGACAGGGTGAATTACAAAGGTGATTTGTGTGGAATAATAGGCAGTCTTGTGCTTACACCGCTGTGCTCGCAGCTGAATTAACTAGGGTTTTTAAGGAAGTTGTGGATACCTGGCACTGCTTTAATCTCTGCCTAAGAGTAGGAAAAGCTAGCTTAAGAAAACTGCCTGAGCAAGTATTAGGATGTTGCTCCACGTGATGATCACCAGCTTGTTAACGTCTGCTGGAAGACAGGGGCAGAGCCTTACCTCAAGCCTCCAGATCGCTGAGGGGGAAGCTCCTGTCGTAGGGACAGGACAAAGTCCTGTACTGGTGTGTGCTTCAGTGTTTCTAGATCTTGAACTAGAAAGAGAAACAAACAGGAAATTAATTGCATCTGTATTTCTAAATTTGGCACGTAGTCGTCAGGAGAGGAAGAGTTTGAGGGTATTTCAACTTGGACATTTCTTTTAAACAACACAGGCAGGACAGAGGAAATCGTTTTCTCTCTGATTCTGTTTGACTTTCACTTAATTGGATCTAACCAGAAAAGTTCTGTATTTAACAGAAACAAATGCTTGAAACAAATTTTTCTGGTCCTAAGCAAAAAATAAAAATCACAGAGTACAATTAATTTGTAGTTGGTTAAATTGACATTAAATTGTTCAGTACAAATCTTTATGAAAGAATCAGTTCTAACCTTTTAAGTAAAAGGTTTTGTGTCTGTTTTTCCATGTTTGGATGCCCCAAAAGATAACCTTTGAATCAAACTTCTACGCATGATTTCCAGAGTTAATAGTTCTCATGATGTGTTCTGGGGGGATGGGACTTGGCGACGCTGCTTCTTTCTGGCCTGTTTTTTTTTTTTTTTCTTTTTCTTTTTAGTATCTCATAGTGTGCAAGGCTTGTACTGTTCCCTAAAATGACTGTGACTGATGTCATTGATGAACAGCCAGATAAATTTTAGAAGTGTAGGTTCTTGGTCCAGCATGGTCAAACACTTTGTCAGTGTGCCATGCGTACAGGAGGGAGAAACGCTGTATTTCCTGAGCAAAGTAAAGCTGGCAGTGTGCGACGAAATTCTTCCAGCTATAAACATGTCTGAGCAGAGTGGAAATGAATTCCAGTCGTCTGCAGCTCGTGGTGGTCAGCTGTTGAGATCTGACTATTGTGGTTCACGGGAAATTGTAGGCTGGGTGGAAATTTGAAGCTGACTGTTAGCTTGCAGTCCCTGTCCATGGATTGCAGGAGATCTCACTGCAGCTGGTATGCTCTGCTGGTTAGGACTGCTCTCTTAGGCACTACAAAAGCACGTAGCGTATTGCAAGTTAGTGACAACTTGAAACAGCTCATGCTTTGAAATGAAATGGGTGGAGGATAGGATTCTGCAGGACTATGCCTTCCAAAAGTGGCAGTGCTATTAAAAACACTGCTGTACCTCTTTAAGTGGAAAAGGGAGGAGACAGCCATAAACCAGAGCAGACAGCGTCATATCTCTTTGCAGGCAATGTCCAGGTTGTCATTAAATGTCGACACATAAGCATCAGTCCATAAATCTGCAGTGCAGTGTGTCAGGAAAAATAAACCAAAACACCCACAAAACAAAAAGAAACAGAAAAAAAGATACTCGTTTGATTGTGTGACTGACCATTTGGGAATCTGGCAATCATTCAGTTCAGTCTTTTTCTAAGCCCACTGGACAAAAATTTAGTGAACCTGTGTTGCTAAACAACCAGTGTTAGTAAAGAGAAAATATGATAAAGGGTTAAAATGAAAATGTTTCAAAACATTTTAGCTTAATGTGAGATTGTGTGTTCTAAGTATCTCCTTTATTTTGCTGTGTTATGTGGCAGGTTTTTGTTAGCTGGTTTCCCCTGGTGAGTTTGGGATACTTCTAGTGAAGCATCTTGTAAAGGCTTCAGACAAGACTGATATCAGAGAGATTTTTCAGCAAATTTTTTTTTTTTTTTAGCGATTGCACTGATGTCAGACTGTTAGTGCAAGTAATTTTAATGACCTGCAACAGCTCTAATGCCGATTTGAGCTCTTATACCCCGGAGAGTCAAAGTGTTTCTAATAAGCAGCACTGAAATAAAGGCATTTGTTTCCTGGTAAAATTAGAAGGGCAAGAATGAGTGAGAAGCTTTTAGAGGCCAAAGGAACTCGGTATGGAGCAGAAGACAAACAACAGAGAAGAGGATTTTAGTTTCTGTTTCCCTTTTCACTGTTCCCAGTCTGTGTTTGGTTTTATTGGTGGATCAAAGTTGATGGTACATGACTACCTTGTTTAAGCTCAGCCTGCTGTGTGTTTTTGTCTCTAGTTTAACAGTTCACACTTAACTTTGTTTGCTTGAACGTTTCTGGTATTGCACTTCCCTTATTACAAGAGGAAGTGCTGTGTTAATGTTGTGCTTGGAGTTGTTCCATTTCTTTTCAACCCTGTTTCTGGAAATTCCAGTCCAACCAGACCAGTAAGGCTTTTTTCGGTTTTGGCAGCTAGAGTATGGGAAGTAATTTGCCAGCATTGCTTTTGCTGAGCTCTGCCAGGTGACACCACCACCCTTTGACATGTATAATATAAAGACTTCCCACACTCTTTTGCCAAAAGGAGGAATGATCTCACCCTCAAACAAACCATTCAAATTGTCATTAGGTAATAAAAGCCATGGGTTGTATCAGGTGAAGTATAAAATGTTGCAAGAAAAGTCTACTATTTTGGGGTAGAACGAGTAATTTCTTTGCTTTTTTTCACAGGTTCTTCAAAGAACTTGAAGCAAGACATCAGAACAACATCTTTATTGATGATATTAGTGATATAGTGGAAAAGCATAGTGCTTCAACGTTTGATCCATATGTAAAATATTGCACTAATGAAGTCTATCAGCAACGAACGCTTCAGAAATTGCTGTAAGAGCTAATTTTAAAATGACTGCAAAATCACCCCCCTTTGTAGCTAGAGTCAAAGGCTATGGTATTTGGTGCAAAACCTATGGCTTACAGCAAAGCATGTACTTACATGCTTAGCTTTTCTTAATGCACAAGTTCCTTTGAAGTAATTGAGAGTGAAAATATGCCTGGCTGCATAGTCCAATCCTATTTGTTGCCCTGTGTTACATTCCCTTTTTGATAAATTTTCTCTTTATAGATTTGTCAAAGCCATGGTTTACTTGCATGTTACATATGAGTCTGTTTGCACTCGCGTTCGTCTGTGGGAGGAGATACCTAAATGTTGATGCTGGTCTTGCATATCTAAATAAATAAAGCTGAAGGCTTAAGTGATACGAATCTTTCAACCTGTACTTTCCTTGCTATTAAAATGTTTTATTAATAGTCTAGCAACTTTCACAATTCTTTGGTAAAACATTCTGTTTAATTCCCTCCTTCTTTTTCCTACCAGAGCTACAAATCCAGCATTTAAAGAGGTGTTATCACGGATTGAGTCCCATGAAGACTGCAGGAATTTACCAATGATCTCTTTCCTCATTCTTCCCATGCAGAGAGTAACTCGTCTTCCCTTATTAATGGATGTGAGAACAGTTATTTTTCTATTTTTTCCTTTATGAATATTTTTTGAATGTTAGCACTCTTGCGTTCAATTCCCAGTTCATTCCAGAGAAGGCTGTAGATACTGACTTGTCTGTTGACTATGAACAGTAGCGTATGCTCACTTGTGCAGTCAGAAATTAAAAATTTACAAGTTCTAATCAAAAGGTTTGTAAAGGATAAAAATAATTGATTCAGAAGACAAGGAAGAACCTAGCACAGAAAATGCACAGTGTTAGGATTAAAATTAAACCTTACAGTTTAAAAAAACAAGACTTCCTAGCATATAGATTAGATAAGGATCCTTTTGCAATAAATGCTTACTTATAGTATTATCTATAATTCCTATAGATAGGAATTCATTTTTACCTCCAAGTCATGAGAATAAACTCAGTCTCTCACGTGTAAGTCATAGATAGATTTACTCATCTTTACTTTCCAGTGTTTGCATATGCTGCAGCAGCCTTCCTTTTTTTTTTTTTTTTTTTTTTTTAAATAATATGGTTATTTATCTTTATCATGGTACACATAACAGTGTGTGTAGCCTTAAGAGCCTTTCTCATTTAATCCTTTGGAAATGATTACCTCCTACAAAGAGGTCAAACAGAGTAGTCTGGCACAGTTTTCTTATAGCTTGTACAGTTGCACACAAGTGGATATTTTGACTTCCAGAAAAAGCTTAACGTATTTAAAATTGGAAGAACCTATTTGTGTACAGCTGCAATGGGTTTTCACTGTAGTTTGCAGAAAGGTAGAGTGGAGACTGCAGAGCCTTTCTCTTTTCTGGAAGGATATGGCCTCCCTCTTCCACTATATTGCCACAGGTGAAGACTGGCCAGAGATGGAAAACATCACACTCCTCCAAAAAGTTCTCAAGAGAGGCATTCCTTAGTGTCACCAAGGCCTCTGGAGAAGTAACCTAGTGTTCTCTCATTTATCCCAGTACACAGCTGGGACTTCACCTCTGATTTCCATTAATACGTTTGTAAAATTCTGTATTTGTTACAATTTGTGCTTCTCAGTCCTCTGAAGTAACTGGTATTTTATTTCAGACTATTTGCCAGAAAACTCCTAAAGATTCACCAAAATACGAGAACTGCAAGCAAGCTCTGAAAGAAGTGAGCAAGGTATGTCCTGATGGTACAGAGGGAAAAAAAAGTCTGAAACTAAGAAAGCCATGCTTTCTGCTTTTATTGCTGGTTAATGATATCTGCTGCACTCAGTTGTTCAGTTGTTCTTGTCTTACTGTGTAATCATCAGAATCAATGACAGAAGAAGAGCAGAAGTCCATTTCCTTGCATAGATTGTAAAATACATCAGCACTTTCAGAATAAATTCCAGTTCCATTTTATGTGAAACTGAGCAGATTCTCCTTTTTAAATGGGGAAATTCTAGTTCATCAATTCACATTGACACACATATACAATATGTATATGCATATATATATATATATATATATATTCTGGAAATAGAAGACTGTAAAACAGAATGTTGTGGTTTGAAAAGAAAATTTAAGGATCTAAGAACTGTCTGGTTTATGCCTCCGAGATCTCAGAATTTCAGAAGCTGCAGCTCATCATAAACTGTCATTAAATGTGTTGTATTGGATGCTCTTTATTTAAACAAAACAAAACCTTTCCCTACATGTCGGGGCTAGACAATGCCTTGGGCTTTGAACATTCCTTATGTAAGGGAAGAGCAGTGAAAGATAAAAACTAAATTGTCTTATTTAAGAAAGACCACTAGGGATTGGTTTTATTGCGAAATTTTTGCCTGTTACTTAGGAAAATACCCTAAATTCAGGAACACTATACTGCTGCCAAAACAATCATTATTTTTTTTTCTGTAGAAGCTATATATGATTTGTGAAGTGTTTGATTATGAAAGGAGAAAAGGCTTATTAATGGTTGGGAAATGCTGCATGATGTTTGTGAGGTTAAGGGGAATGCATTTTCCTGCCTGTCTTGAGCCCTGTTGTTGTACACTCCTCTTCCTCCCATGCACAGACTTCTGACAGGCTGCAGGATGCTTTAAGATTGCGTTCTAAAGGTCAGCTGCAATGAAACTTTCTCAAAGATACTGTTTGCCTTAGTTTAACAAGGCGGTGCTGCAATGTTTGTGCTGGGACTTTCTTCTCTAAATGAGTTGCAGGTGTGTGGTGGACAGGACAGTGTGCAACATGGATTTGTCAGCCCAGAATGTTGGTTTTTGTGGGGCTGATCATTAACTTGGATCAGAGAGTATAACCCTTTTCAGTCAGATTGTCTGGCTGTAACTTTGTACCACCTGGGCTTTGCTGAAGAATAAATAGTTATTATAGTGTTGGGTAATCCAGGTTGAAAGGGACCTCAGGATGTCATCCAGTCCAGCCTCTTTCTCAAAGCAGAACCAGCTGTTGGGTCTGAACAGGTCACTCAGAGATGCATTCAGTCTGGTCTTGAAAACATGGCTGTGGCTGAACAGGAAAATGTCAGGTGCTTTATAAATTTTACGCTTCCACAGATGTGTATTTTATAAAGGAGCAAGAGTTAGTGTTACAAGTCTTGAGTACGTTAAATGTGCTAAATATGTGTCTTGTTTCTAGTTGGTGCGTTTGTGCAATGAAGGTGCTCGGAAGATGGAAAGGACAGAAATGATGTACACAATTAACTCCCAGCTGGAATTTAAAATCAAGGTATGATGCTATTTCTGATGGTAAACCATTTAGCATACGAATAGCTTTGACCACACGCTATGGCTTTGACTACATGTTAAATTTTGATAGCTTCATTGCCAGCATAAAGTACATTAGCATAGGCTGTAACACTGGCATGACTTTCAGTCAAGGAAGACAAGTTCATATTGTGGGGTAGCTGAAGCTTTGGAAACTCAGAGGGTAACTGAGGACTGTTGTGTCTTAACCAAGGTTGATTAAGCTTCAGGTTGAGGCTTTTCAGGGAAAGAGTATAGGAAACTTATTTACTTTTTAATAAGAACGAAAGGGACTATTTATCTATTGCAGCTGAAATAAAACAATAAAAATTGACCAAATCTTAGCACCCTAGCATTTTATTTTCTGAAAACATCATGAGTGAGATTCAGCACACTATTTCTGTCAAGCTGTAAGATGAATTAACTCCACAGAGTGAGTGTGAGCTGGCTTTGATGCGCTAGACAAATTGCTGTCAAGTTTTTACCATTAAAAGAGGGGCTGATCTACTACTTGACAATGAGATGATCCCAACAGTGTGTGACTGTCTGGATTACGGCAGCACAATATCAAAAACAAGGTGTGGTTCCAACCACCTCAAGATGTGTTTCTTTAAATTACGATGTATTTGTACAAGATTCTGGTAGTTCTGCTGTAAAAACATGTCACTTCCACGAGTTCCCCTTTAATTGGGAGGTGATAGAAATCAGGAAGACAGTGGTGTGTGCTGCATGCTGCTGAATTCAAGAAGGCAGGTGTGAAATAAATCAGCCCAGCTGGGTTTCCTGGTAGGTTTGTGTGCCTGCTCCTTGGTCACACCTGCGGGCAGGAGTTACCGAATTCAGCTACGGCAGCACTTCTGGCAGCGTAGGATATGCAAACACAGAGTGAGGTGCCAGCCCGGAACAGCAGGCTGTGCAACAGCAGACGTTGGCGTAGGTGAAATTACTTAAGATAAACTTTGCTAATGCAGTTTGTTTTTGTCATTTGTCAGCAAATTTTGTTTTGCTAGTGCAGAGTATGGTTGTACTTAAAGCTGCCTGTGTCTGTGTGATGGTGCAGGCAGGGCTTTGAAGTAGTAACAGCTAAGCGTCCTGTATTAAACCAGTGCAGGTAACTTCTTAGCTTACTTTTCAACCACAAGAATAGCAAGCATATTTGTATATGCAGATGAAATTGAATTCTATACTGTCTTAGTTTTCAAAATGAATGTTGTAATCTTCCGCTGGAATGCTCCTGTTCAAACACAGAATATCTGAATGATGAATGAATTATCATCATTGTGTTTGAAGTAAGTAGAGGTTTATGTTTTTGAAAAGACAGTTATTAAAGGATCTTCCTCGGTCTTGCTCTGAGGAAATCCTGTTTCCAACTTGTCCAAAGGATTTTTATTTACATGCTTTGACTAAAAACTGAGAATAATAATAGTTACTTAAAGCAACAGCAATAAAATAAACTCATTAACAAGTGACATCACTACATTTGCTAACGAGGCTGGATAATAGTCTCAGGTATTTGGGATATTCTGAAGTGGAGTTTTGGATAGCCTGAAAACTTTGGGTGACCTTCTCCCCTCATTCATTCATAATTTTCAAATCTACAGAAGTACCTGACAGTTTTAAAATGTATTGAGTTCCTTAAAGGACTTTTAGTCTGTTACTTTCCCTATTGGAAGAGGATGCAGAAGCAAGAGGCCCTGTATAATTCTTCCAGTGGACGTGCTGTGACTAGCAACTCTTGCTAGTTTCATGGGAATAATAGCAACTTTATTTTCTTTTCTGTATTCTTTATGCAAGTTTTTTTTTTTTCTTCCCTCCTCTGTGCATCTTAAATATAACCACTTAGTGGTTTTAGACCTTATCTGTGGTTTGAGAGCTTGCCAGCTGGAGTGCTTGCCAAACTGCTTTGGCCAAGTCTCAGTACATTTTATGTTCTAATGGCTTATTTTATATAAAAAGGTGGTGATATACGTGTTGTACTCTTTTGGTAATTGCAGGAAAATTAATATTAAAGAAAAAATAAGGTGCCTTTGGAATATAGTCAGTTAGGAAAATGAACTCATTTGGAGTAGAGATTAAAGGGATTTTTAGTTCATGTTCATAGAAAATCGTGAAGATGTTTTAGTCTGCAATACCATCACCATGGTGTTATAATGCTGCTTTATAACCATTATGAATTAGGTAAGCTCATTCTGTTCTTTCCTCATCTGGTGTTTTGGGATGTTTTATTTTGTTAGGTGTGACTGTAGAGCAATTACATAGGAGTTACAAGAGAAGCTACTAAATGTAGGTCATCTGTAGAATTTCTTTTAATTAAGATTCAAAAGGTTTTATTCTTAAAATTTTCAACTTTAGCACCAGAAAAGCTTTTTTTCTGCAAACAGGCATTTGAGTTCAAGAACAAAACTCTTCTGTATTTTCTATGTTCAAGGACCATCTAGCCCAATGTTTCAATTTGTAAAGTCACAAGAACTGTGATGGTGTAACCTTAGGGCTATGGCCCAATATTTCGCGTTCACGTACCATCACTTGGAACCATTACTGCAATTCAGAAAGTGTAAATAACTGGAGTTGTTTTGTTTCAAGAATTGATTTTCATACCAGTAGAGTTTAGATTCAGAGTAAGACTTTTTTTTTTTTTTTTTTTTAATAAAAAGGGGAGAAAAAAAAGCAGACTGTTTATATAAAACTTCAGAAATTACTTAGATTTCAATCGTGGAATTTGGGAGTTCTTCTGATTGCCACATATGGGTACTGAGCTGAATTGGTCTTTTGTAACCTGTGTGGTTTAATAATGTGTATTAATAAAATGACCATCCATAAGAAAAATGGTATGGTACAGTCCTTGGAGAAAGTAATAATGTTGGATTGATGTTAGCCGCTGATACAAGATAAGTAACGGTGTCAGTTAATGAAATTAAAGAGATTTGTAACCAGATTGTTCTACTCTAACTCATAACAGAGACTTGGATAAAAATCCATTTAGGAAATATGGATTTGAAACAGTTCTGCATTTCCAGACTGGAGAATACAATAGAAAATGCATTTAGTAAACTAATGGCTAATACAAAACTAGAAATGTGCAAAAAAGTTGTATAAATTAAAACAGAACGTGTGATCTGAAGTTAATTGGGAAGAAGTATCTAAGGGGAATTTGACCAAAATTCAGTCCAGGTATTTTGTCTCTAATTTTGCCATTTTGAGCAAGGTTCATCTGTCATTCATGTGCTATCTCCTAACAGAAAGCACAAGGAACAGGCTTCCAGGAGCTTGGTCCTGCTTTTTGTGCTGAGTGTGGTACTGCACGGTGCTAAATAAATAAATAAATAAAATAAAATCTTTTGAATGATTTCTTTGTCATGTACCATTTCAAAGTCACTACAAAATCATTCCTCAAAATTCACAACAAATTAGGGAGGTTAAAGTTTTGTTCCAACAGCACAATCGCAGTCAAAGCACCAGTTTGGTTTTGGCATCGTGCTCCAGGGCGAGTATTGACAAGCTGAATTAGTTCACTAAAGGGCAGCTGAGTGATTAGATACAAAAAGACAGTCTAAGCAGAATGATGAAGACAGCTGACAAGCTGAATGAAGAAGTACTTATACAGGCACGTGAAAGATATTTTAAATGGAAAAGAAGCAGTTGTCTTCATTAGTCTAATCATTACAGACATAACGAATTTGAGCAACAGCAGAGCACGTACATGTTTTTGATAAGCTGAAAGCCTGTTATGTGTAAAGTAGAAACAAAAATTTGGTTATTTCCCATGGGGTGAGGAAAAATGTACATAAGTTAACAGTTAAGTGCCCTTTTACTGCAGTGGATTTTAGGTACAAACATTAATAAACACGGGCAAAGTGGATGCCACTTCTCCAGGTGTGGACCTGCTGTTGGAGGGTCTGCAAGGTACAGGGCGTGCAGCTTGGGCTTCGCCTGCAGAAGTCACCCCGTGAGTCTTCTGTTTTGGTGCCAGACATCTTCAGGTGCTCCATCCAGCACGCATGCTCTACCTGGAGGTGCATAGACACAAAAGTATCAACATCTTCAGTTTTGAAATTAGGACCAAAATAGGTCATCCCAGAGATGATGGGTGGGACTTAGAAAGGGGTACCTTTATCAACAGCCACTGTTCTAAGCAAAGAAGAAACCTTTCCTCTGTGTGGCACTGAAACCTGTATGAACCCACATACTGGGTCTGGTCAGCTCAGTGCTAACTGTCAGTGAGATCACTGACGGAGGAATCTTGGCCCCTGGGAGATGTTGCAGTGCTGGCAGCGCTGCAAGGGACCTTTGTGTTCCAGGCATCACGTCAACGTACAGCTTCAGAGAGGATCTGTTCTCATGATGGGGCATGCAGGCTCACATCTCCATTCACGTTCATGACCCAGAGAAACAAAAGGTCCTTCTGTGGTATCGACTTCTCCAGCAGTTGGGAATAGTTTGGGTCAATAAAGCCTGGCCTTTACATTAGACAGCTAGTATCCCCTTTGGCTTGAGTCACCTACTTGAGATGTTGGTCCTCACCCTAACCCAGAGAGAAATAGAGCTCCTGCTCCAGAGGACTTTTAGGGTTCAGTTACATCAGCTAGATAAAGAGGAGCTTATGATATTTTTGGTGATCCATCTCTGATAAAGCTATGGCAGCGAACTGGTAATTGTACAGTATTTCAGGAGCTGCTAATGAGAATAGGAAGCACTTGGAAAACTTCCTGCTATCAAAGGAAGAAACAGGTTATTCTGCACAGTGAGTGCCTTGGGAGGGTGATTCTCTTCTCATAAATTGAGGGCTGAAGGTTTGTGCAAGCCTGCCTGTTTGTACACACACAGTGAGCTATCAAGGCTGGCCTGAGAGGATGCTCTGACGTGTACCTCGTTACAGCAGCATGCCAGGAGCAGCCCGGCCTGCCTGCCCCTGCAGCTACAGCAGCAAGTTACAAAGGGGTTGTGGTCATGTACAGGTACCCTTCCTGACGGAATGGGAGCAGAGAAAAGAAAAGATGAAATTCATCCTTGGGAAGGACACTTAATATGGCCTTTCATAAGTGCATACCTTAAGAGATGTCCTGTAGATTCAGACATTTTTCAAACCATTGGTAGATTTATGATGACACGAACAAACTGTATTGTTTAGGCATGTTACAGCATCATTTTAACTTTAGAGATGTGCTGAAAAGCAGTGTAAGATGCTGTAGCCCATGTGTTTGAGATGAAGTGCTGAAGCCTTTCCTTCCAGCTGTTTATGCGGAAAAGCTGTGAGAAAAAATCAAGTGTTCAAAGAATGATTGCTTACTCTGTGAAAGCTGAAATAATCCCCAGAGACAGTAATTTTAATCTCCTTTGGAGATCTCATGTAGTTTGGTCCATCCTGAAGCATATGACCAGCCAAGTCTGTTCATTTTTGTCTTAGGTGAGTAATTAGGTCATGAACATGAGCAATTTTCAAGTATTTGCAGGCTATTACTTGTGGGTTATATGAATGATAAAGACACCTTAAACCTTGGGATCCCTGTTTTGTGCTTGTACTCATAATCTCTGAGCTCTGAGTTTATCTGAGCAGTTTTTCCAAATATTTCAGACTGTTAATAGATTTTATTTTTTTTTAATCCTACTTATACAAGATTAAAATATTATTTTTTCTTTGTAGCCATTTCCATTGGTTTCTTCTTCACGATGGCTAGTGAAAAGGGGTGAATTAACAGCATACGTAGAAGACACTGGACTTTTTTCTAAAAGGACTTCTAAACAGCAGGTGTACTTTTTCCTTTTTAACGATGTCCTCATTATCACCAAGAAGAAGAGGTAAGAGCTTCACCAATGTAAAATCGTCTTTCTGTTCAACTCCTTGCGTCACGAAGAGAGCATCTAAGTTATCTGTTAAATTTTCATGACTTTTGTGTGTGCCTCACCACACGGGAAATGAGAGCCAAAACTTCCTGGCTTTGCACAGCCGAACTTTATTGCATCCGCAGCATTTTTGCATGTTTGCTAGCCATCTGCTTTTTTGAAAGAATGAATGAGATTCAAAGAGATCTGGTACATTTGCAGCATAAAATGGGAGGAAATATGGATTAAACTTGTGTTAATTACAGTCAAAATTTGTGAAACGTTTTGTATGTTTCAATACGCTGTGTCTGAGAAAGGAAATGAATTATGAAGGTATTTGAGTTTCTAACGTTGCTCCATCAGACTGCATTTAGAAATTACAAGTAACTGCTTGTTAAATGGGATTTAGTTTTTGCAAACTCGATTTAAATTTGTTTGACAAGTCAGAATTTCAAAGGTTATCCTTGGTGCCTTAAGAAAGAGAGATTTTTTGTGGGAGGGTAAAGTGATATTCTTTCCCCTCTGTGCTTTACCATGTTGGATTGTTCTTGAGAGAGATTGATGGGAAATCGCTTCTAGTAGTCTCCACTTCTATTTTATCTCTAGATTCGAGGGGAGGCTTAAAATCATTTAACGGAATTGACACCCTCTGCTATTGCTGTTAAATAATACTTGATAGATAAACTTTCTTCCCGAGGCTGAAAACCGTTTTGAAGAATAGTTTTGCATTTGCATTGATCAGTTGAACCAAATACCAGCTATTTCTAAAAGAGAGTGTTCTGTGAAACTTCTTAATTTAAATCAGAAATTGAGGAATGAGATAGTCACATTCTCTTCTCAGATTTAATATTCTATTTAAGCAAATAGAAAGATAAAAATGAAGGAAAAAATATATTTAAATCAAAGAATTTTTATGCAGATGAGCAGAAAGGCGAATAGAGCTTTCCCCAGCTATCGTAATGCTGGGAGCACATTTCTGAGATTCAGTGTTTATCAAAGTTCACGCTGCAATGTTTCTTTGAAAGTCCCTTGCTAAATCCCTGGCAGCAGATCAGAGTTGTGCCTCATGTTTTTAAACTGCGCGTTTGTTTTCTCACGGGATGGCTCTCAACGTATTGCTGTGTTGGTAGCTAAGTAAATGTCTGAGTTAGGAAAACAATGAAAAGCTATTATCTGTGTTGTTACAGTGTTTATTGGTTTCCTATGTGATGGCTTCTTGTCCAGATTATAAAACAGATTTTTATAGCAACATATTTTATTCAAACTTTGGATTTATAATAACTTCCAGCTGTTGGAACTGAAACGTCATAACTGGGCCCAGAAGCCAAAATTAAGGAAAACTTGAAGTTAATGATCAGATTTATCTGTTCACCTGAAGAACACCCCCAAGCAAAGTAGGTAGGATGGAAAAGGATTGGTTTGTGTGAACATCCCAAACATTCCGAGCACGAAGCTTACACTTGACCTGAGTGGATGAGCTTATTCATAATATTTGAGCTTTTGGTGATCTGTTCTCCTGCCCACGGCGTTGCTGTGGACACCACGGCAGTGGACAGCAACACTTGTTGACAGTTGAGCTTTCTATGCTTGTGTTTTAGCTGAGGAGTTGCTTTCTCAAAAGATTCTTAGCATTGCACACACAAAAAATCACTCGACTGTGCTAAAAATACTAATTACTTAGTGCTGCAGTCACGCTGCTTAATCCTTTCTCCCAGAGTGAATCCCCGGCCGTCCCGGGGAGCAGTTTGCCGTATAAGTCGAAGCAGCACGCTGTGCCTCCCAGCTCCTTGCTGTGCCTCCCAGCTCCTTGCTGTGCCTCCCAGCTCCTTGCTGTGCCTCCCAGCTCCTCGGGGCCCGGCGCTGCCTGCCCAGCCCGCAGCCAGACAGGGTCAGCAGGTCTAGGACAAGGGTCAGCAGCCCCAGTGCAGCGAGGCTCGGCGCATCCCTGCTCACGGGCTGCTTTCAGGAACAATTTCCATGCGTCAGAATCACCGCTGCGAGAACTGCATTTTGAATACTGAGTGAGCAAGGGTTCCCCAAACCTTTTTATAATGAGAATTACAACATTTTAGCTACGAAAAAGATAAAGGGTGTGTTGTATACTTACAGTGCTCCAGAGGTCTTATGCTTTAACTTTAATGATGCTTTATTCATCATAATCTTCCTCAGCTACAATTTCACCTTTTGGTTGAAATTGCAAGGTTGTGCTGTGATCTCTGCCCCATTCAGTAGGTTAAGTGGCATTCAGCTACCACAATTTCTTCCTTTTTAATGGACACGGAAGGTAATATTCTGCCACGAGGAGTAGCAGGCAATATAATTCACGTCTTGAGAGTTCTTTCTGTCTGCCTCATGATTCACACGGACTACACTACAATTCTTGTTATTTGTGTCACCTTTGGGAAACTTGCTTTCTCTTGAGCTAGTGAAGAAATGCTTTCACACTGCAGAGTACGATGACATTACTGTCTTGTTAAATATGGGTTATTTACTTTATGCATACTGCTTCTAGGTTTGTATATCCTTCAGAATGATTTTTCAGCTTTCCTCTTCTAAATCCCAAACCACAGACAAAAATATCATCCATCCCCTGCGTGGCTGATGAGCGTAACTGCTGGGTTTGGATACCCATTTGCCTGCTGTCAGGCGCGGTGGAGCTTCCACAGCGGGCACTTTGCAACTGCCCTGGGGAAGAGGAGACTGGGCTACAGAGGAGGTGATTCCCTGGTACCTCAGGCAGACCTGGAAGCTTACACTGTAACAATGCTCTGCTAAAAAGGGACACACGGATTGCTCTGAACTTTACAAAAGTCAGGTTCTTCCTTTTTTCCAGCACGCCCTTTTGAAGAGGTGGTTTCATGTTCTGGATAGTAATGCTCAGAGTTGTCTATGAGCTGGCTCTGCATGCTGCGGAGCTCAACGGAGCTCCAGAATTAATGAAGTCCTGTTGTGTCCAGCTAAAGTAACACTGCTCACTGAGCTATTCGTAACATCTACCAGCAAAGTCCTGAGATCTTTTAGAAGATTTCAGATGAATTGCAAAGAGATGTATGTTTTTGTATGAGGATACATTTATTGAATACTCTTCTCTCCCATAATATCCCCTAAGGACACCACTATAACCCCATCTGTTTTCATGGCTCTATGGCTTGTCAGCTCCTGAGATTGCCTTGACATTGGAATGCAGCTGGACCCCATACACTGGAAATCACCCAAAGGTTAAATACTACTTGGGAATGTTACCTGTTCACAGCTGCTTGAAAAAATATGCGTTTTTAGCCAAGATGCCAGGAATGATTTTGTAACTAAAGTAATCATACAAAAAAAAGTGATTAAAAATTGCTGAGGATTTATAAAGGACATTTACTGCTTTTTTTTTTTTTTTTTTATATATATACATGTGATAAGGGAAATAGGGAGAATCACCACATGCTTTCTGTTAAAGAATAGGTGGCCTAGGACTGGTGTCTGGTCTTCATAAAAGTGCCTCCACGATGTGCAGGCCTTCCTTGCGAGGGGATGTAAAGTAGCCCTGTTGCTCTGTGTTCTGAGTCAAAATAAGAGTTTGGCAAAAAGTTCAGCCATAAACTGAAGGTGCACGTCGGCGCGTCTGTGTTAGCTGATTACTGTCGTTTTAAAAAATGTGTTAAATGTCCCTCCTGTTACTGCACTGCCTGGTGGGAAGATTTCATCCCCATTTACGTCCATCTGCTTGCTCTGGCTGCAGTGCCTCCAGCCCTCAGCCAGCCGTACCTGTGCGCTGCTGGTCAAGAGAAGTCTGTGGGCCTCCTGGAGAGCACAGGGGTAGAAAGATAAAGACTCCTCAGGAGTTCAAAGCAGGCTGTTCTGTTGAATGGAGATAAGAGGAATTTGTAGAGGTTTATCTCAGGTGATTAATTAGTTAGGAATGCATTTGTTATTTACTATGCAAATGTATGCACTACTTTTCTTTCTTTTTAGGTTCAGGATCCCAATGACTACAGCATCCCTGGCTGGTTTTGCTAGTTCTGTCCTTGGCTAGGCAGCAATTGCTGCGTAAAAGTTGTTTAAAAACGGAACTGACTTCTTAAAAACAAACAAGGAAGGGGAAATCACACACCTGGTGGAAAACTAAGCATTTTAATGTTGTGTTTTTCTTTTTCTCCTTTGTTTTACAGTGAAGAGAGTTACAATGTCACAGATTATTCTTTAAGGGATCAGCTCGTGGTACAACAGTGTGACAGTGAGGACCTGACCTCTTCTCCTGTAAAGAACACTTCAGCTATGCTGTACTCGCGGCAGAGCGCTACAGTGTACCTCTTCAGATTGGCAGTCCTCAGTAACCACGCAGGAGAGAAGGTGGAGATGCTCTTGGGAACAGACACTCAGTAAGTAAATAGTTATAACTTCTGTAATTTTTCACCCGATCATCTCAACAGGTTGTTGTTGATATCTGATCAGCAGTGACCGAGGAAGGATTACATTAAAAATGACCCCGTATTTGTCACGGGCCACGCTGGCGTCCTGTTCAGCAATGCTGGAGAATTTGTTTTTCCACCTGCTGACTGCTGTGATTTGCACTGTTTTTATTCCATTAAGTGTGCACTTCCGAAGCTAGGCAAGGTAACAGAACAAGCCTTTCTGTTTTTTTAATGATTGACAGAGAAGAAGAATGTGCAGCTTGTGTAAGATCCTAGATAGAGGAATAAATATTTACTGGAATAAAATAGAGCCTCTCCAAACCTGGTTCAGTTTCTCATGGATAATCGTGTCATGAGAGGGCTCAGGGGTTTTAAGTCCCTGTCATGTTATTGTCATTCTCTTTTCTTGATGTCATGTTGTAGGGATAATAGCAAATTGAGTACACATGCTAAAATTATGTAAACTGAAGTATCTGTTACTAGGTGCTATTGTTCTAGGTCTACAGACCAAGAATTAACTGTGCTTCTGCCTCAGACACTGCCAGCTCCCTAGCCAGTGAGTAATGGCGTGGCCGTGCCTTGCAGTGTGTTACATTAATACCATTAGGATAAGTAAATTGAGAGCCCATTAGAGGGTAGAATAGAAAGGAGAGATGACAAAGCTCCACTTGTATGTTGTACGGTGTGGTCTGAAATAGAGTTCTCATCACAAAGCCACGTCTGACTTTCTGCAAACATTTTGCTGCCTCTTCCAAACCTGCAGCCAAATGGATAAGTACAAAGCTGGTGGTGCTGTTTTTTCCCCAAGTAATGCAGCAAGGAACAAAAAAAGGAACTAAAAAATACATTGAGGTAATGCAGAGGGAGTCCATGGTGATGCAAGGTACAGTGAACTACAGTCGTGCATTGCTTCAAGGTGCTGAAAGATTATCTGTGATAGCTTTGCGTAAAAATGCTTCTCATAAACAGGAACCAAAAACCTTAGGTTTAACACTTCTTATTTTTGCAAAAAAAAAAAAAAGGAGAACTGACATGACCATTCCTAAACAGTAAAGGCTTTTTGTTGCATGTTAGTTGGAGAGGGTTTTCATCAGAGGGAAGGTGTGTAAGTCAGTGTAATGTTGCTGAAGACAGCAGAGTATCTGAAGGGTAATCCAGGCTGAAGATAATAATAATGCTGGATTTCTGAATCCCTTCTGGTGGTTATTGGTGAGGCAAACATGCCAGGGCTGCAGGACAGGGATTTACGGGGGATTGGAGGGGGGAGCGTGGGGAGAAGCTTTTATGTACAAAATTAAAGGTGGTGTTTTCCAAACTGAGCTTAAAATGCAACCCTTCTGATTCGGGCAAAGAGCAGACTACAGGCTGTCAGTGCTCTCATTTGCAGTCCTCACTTAGCGTCAAGATAATTAGCTCATTCTAATTAAGCCAAATCTAGTGAAAGTTAATTATTGTTCTATTTGCTGCTTACAGTAGGATGACCTCAGGCTTTAGTGGCGGGTAATGTAGTTTAAAATTACTTTAAAGACGGAGTAAGCAGTGTAGCTGCCATTAACCTTTCACCTTGCCCTGGATGCGTTTTTCCCGTGCGAGGTTCAGAGGCTCCCAGGCACCCTCAGGACCCGGCTGTCTTTGGAGCTTACGGAGAGGGTCTGAGTGCCCCTGCCTGGCACAGCTCTGGGTCTTGGCCACTCTTGGTGTTAAGGTGCTGTCTCTATTAAGCATCACAATACCTCTGTAGCTACGTGACTTGTGTGTGGGCATAGCCTCAACTTCTCTGTGTAACGTTTCCAACCTGCGTTGCCTGCATACACTCCCAGTTTAAATTGTGAAGTGCTCAGTTTCTGGAGCAGTTTCATTCGAGCTTCTCTAAGTCTCTGGATCATTGTTGACATCCCAGAGACTGACTGTGGACAATGAAGGTTAGTTACCCAAATACTACAAACATGACAACGCTCTGAGATGTGGCTGGGGCTTTGGGTGGCCCTGTGTGGACCAGGAGCTGGGCTCGGTGATCCTTGTGGGTCCCTTCCAACTGGGATGCTCTGTGGTTCTGCTTCCACTTGAACTACAAATGGGGCTGAGTTATCGCTGTTGGTTGTCGTAGCATAAGTACATGATAGGTCAAATACTTCTCTAATATTTTCTTCTGAGTGCTGGAAGTTGAGACGTGGGTTTTCTGCCTCGCTTGCCTGTTAGCAGAGAACTTCCCTCAAATAATCACTGGGGCCAGGGGGTAAGTGCCTGAAGTAAAGTGGAGAGCAACGAGTGTCCTGTGGTTGCAAGCAGTCTGTACACCTGCCTTCTGCAGGTGTGCTTGGATGTGCAGCTGCCTCTCCAGGACTTACCGCTGCGGGTGGCAGCAAACACTGACCTGGGTGCGTTGGGTCCGGTGCTGAGCGGTGCTGTCCCGGGGCAGCTTTGTGAATCCTGTACCAGAGCGGAAACTGCAGGACGGGATGGAGGAGGAGTTTGGCACTGCCGCGGGGAAGCTGCGCTGGATAGAGGTGGTCCTTGTTCTCCTGGGGCAGTGCTGGAGTGCTCTGCTTTAGAAAAGGGCAACAAGCAGCGTCTTGTTCTTTGGGGTGCAAGTCTCGGAGAGGCCATCGCTTCTGTGTGGTGCCATTAACATCCACACAGCCCTTCACAGAAGTGAAAGATGGTATCTGTTCCGCGGAGGCTGGGGGCGGGACACAAGACATGAAACAGAACGGTCCAGACGCATCCCAGCCTGGAAAAACTTACAGTTTTAGGTTTGCTTTCAAAGTTTAGAATAACTCTGAAAGAAACTATAGATCGTTAATGATTCCTATTAAAGATCTTATTATAAAGTAAGCAGATGATTCAGACTTGCTTGGAAATGCGATTTTATTGGGAAAAAAATGAAGCACATTTTTAGTTGTCTGGGCTTTTTATAAAAAGACATTTTGTTCTACAGAATATTACTGCTTGCCTATATAAGGTTTGTGATATAAATAGCAGTCCATCAGATTATCTTTCAAGGGAAAAAGTCTCTGACAATACCTCCTTGATTTGAAAACTTTTAATAGAGCGTTGCCGTGTGTGGTGTGCTCAGGGCTCCGACACTCCCAACTTTTTGTAACTTGAGGCGAGCGCGATGGGGAGGGCAGCAGCAGGAGGAGGGCCCAGCTGGACGCTTCAGAGCGCTCGCTGAACAGAGTGATGCATGTTCAAAGCAAAACGTTTGTGTTGACTACGATTTCCAGCGCAGTTTGATCGCGTTGTGTCACTTTGTGTGGCTCGTGGTTCCAAGGTACAGCAGTAGAAGAGCAGGGTCTGGAGCGTTGCGGTGCCGGTGAGCGAGGGCGGTGGCGTTGCAGCTCCAGCAGCAGGGCACGGCCGGCAGCTGAGGGTGGCATCAGGGGAAGGCTCCTCACAAACCTCATGTGTCTTTCGTGGCCTGTTCCCACCGAATTACAGCTCTGGAGCAGCTGTAATTGTGCCTGCTGCTGGAGGCGGAGGGTTAGATTACAGGGTCACTTAGCATTAGATGATCCACTGGCGCTGGCATCTTTTTGTGTTTGTCTCCCGGTCTGTCTGTTTACACAAGTAACATCGATTCCCTTGAAAAATACACAGAAAGCTATGGAAGGACAAAGGCTTTTTTGGTCAGAGGTTGGACTCGAGGATCTTGAGGTGTCTTCCAACCTAGACAATTCTGTGATTCTGTGATTCCCTAGTCTGGCTGAGAGCTGTGGTTTTTTGGACTGGATTTTTCATATGCTCTTAACACTGCCTGCTGGAGAGGGTGACTTCAGTGGGAGTAAAGTTGTTTTGTGTTCACCAACTATCTGGTGTACGTGGATTTATGAAGAAACACATACTTAGATAGGAAGGCAGTCTGGTATTATCCCATTTTTTAAGAGTTGTTTGAAAGGAAATGTAATTTTCTTATTAAGACTGGTTATGGGAAAATACGGATCTGTAAATAACATGTTTCTAAAAATAAGAACAAAATTAAGGTTGTGCAAAATTGTATATGTTTTCTTACTGTGGTTGAGACACAAGTTTAGCACTGGTTTCAGATTTTCAAAAAATGAACAACTGCAGACGACAGATGTTACTATTTTTAGTTAAAAACTCAAGTTATCTAAAGACAAAATTTTGAAGAAGAAAATTCAAGTGGATTATTTAATTTTGTTTAGATTAGTCATAAGTATTAGTCGCAGACACTAGTAGAGAAGTTTACCTGCATTACTTAAAAAATAATTAAAATAAGGGTATGTAAGATGTGATGCCAGTAAGAACCATGTGTGTATAGGCATTTTTTCTACTCTAACATGCTCAAAATGTTTGTGTTTGAAGAGTGTTATTACAAGAAGTAGTATCACACCTGGCCATGTTTTGAGAGGAGGAGAAAGGAGGTTATGTTTAGTTTTTCTTTCACAATAAGAGGAAGAATTTAAATACAGAACCTTGAAAAGGGAGTAGTCTTGATCATTGTTCAAGAGCATGAGTTGGGAAACTGAATTTTGTTTTTGCTGTTTGCAGAAGTGAAAGAGCTCGCTGGATTACGGTGCTTGGGCAAGACAGAGATGGGCAGAAGACTGACAGAACGAGTAAGTTGCAAGTACTGAGATTTCTGAGCACTCTGACATGAGAATAGAAGTGCACTGCCCCTTAGCGGGGATTTGAGCAAACACATCCTTAAAAATGTCACCTTTCTTTTCCTGGGCTGTGTTACTTTAATATACATGAAGCTGTCATCGCTTCCTTCTTTGAGGAGTTTTGTTTTGCCCAGTTATTTCTGTTTGCGTTCATTAACACTGGTCAGTTGTTTCCATCTGTTACCAAGAGCAAAGCTCCCTTCTTCGTGTTTAACCCAAGTTTGTGTGCAGTTGCTCAGGTGGGAAGCCATCTGCATCATTTGCTGCCACCTGCATGGCAGGCGGGGTGGGGCAGGGCATGTGCTAAGACACACTGATTTCTTCAAATCAATTATATACATGTTTGAATAGAAGACTTGAAATGGAAATATTGTAATTCAGCCTTTCTTTTCTTTTTCTTCCCCAGCTTTGACTCAGGTAGAGATCATCAGAACTTACACAGCAAAGCAGTCGGACGAGCTGTCTCTCCAAGTTGCTGATGTTGTTCTGGTTTATCAAAAAGTGAATGATGGTGAGTATGTGTTGTTAGCAACCCTCTCTTACCACTGCAGATGAATCCAGCTAGAAGGATTTGTTTCCTAATAGAGTTGGCCATATGATGAATAAAGGCTAAGCTTCCAGGAAAAACTTGAGCATTTAGGTTCAAGTTCCTAAAGACAGCCTCTGTTTAGGCAACAGCTGTTTAAAGTAACTCATCACCAGTCATAACTTATATAGATAAATCATGTATGTGGTGACACTGACTCAGGAGTTCTGACAAAGTGCCTTTAAAGTTACTTGAAGAGGTTTATTGCTCCCTGTCTGTTCACGCCTGCAGGCTGGTATGAAGGGGAACGCCTGCGGGATGGGGAAAGAGGCTGGTTTCCCATGGAGTGTGCTAAGGAAATCACGTGTCGTGCCACGATCGACAAGAACATGGAGCGGATGGGACGCTTACTTGGACTTGAAACAAATGTGTAGATGGTTTTTGCTTCTTGATACTGTACTAGAGGATTTGCACTAACTGCTGTCAGCGGGGAATGGCTGCGTGCACTACAGCTCTCACATGGAAGACGTGGGTCACAGATGTGTAAAATCTGGTAACAGAGCACTGATGTTTCAGACAGCCTATTTTGGTTTGCATTTCGAGAGCTCTGAACTGATGCCTGGCTTGAACTGTAGCAGATTTCAACTAGAAGTAGTTTCTTAGGCACTGGAGATCAGCTTTGCATTTTTTTTCCCGTTTTCCCTTTCAACTTCAGTTCCTTCATCCCTGCTCTTTACTTACTCTTCTGCCACTCTTTCTTGATCATTTTGACTTCCTTTCTTTCAAAATTGGGCCTTGCTGTAGCAGACCGAGCACCAGAAACTCACCACATCTATACGCTGAGCTGGAGGTGAACAGGAGCATAACAGTGGGGGGAGTTCCTGTTCCTTGGAACCTGCAGCTGTAAGCTCCCAGTACAGGACTGGGGATTTAAGGGGATGCTTCCCAGCTGTGTCAGAATCCTTGTTTCATGTAATTCAGAAGGGCTTACCTCTCCAGCACAAAGCCAGGGAGGAGCCAGATTTGCTAAGAGTGAATGAGATCGCTGCAATCTCTGTGGGTGAAGCTGACACAAGGTAAGAGCCAGAGACGTGCTGCTTGTGGTGGTGGCCTCCAGTACTGGGCGTGGGTACTCAGTCACGCAGCTCAGGCGTTTTGGTGCTCTGGTGTTGAGATTTCTGAAAGCAAGCAAGAAGTACCAAACTGTACCAAGTACATAGTGACGCTGAGGGTCTTGTTCTCAGATCCATTTTATCACAACTATCAGCCTCAACTTGGGCTTGTTTTCATTAAGAACAGCCTTGGTGGGAGCAGTTGTTAGCTCTCTTAGCTCCCCCTGGCAGGTGTATCTTATGGTGTTTCTTCCAGTAATTTTTTTTAAAGCTCATGGGCTTTGCCAAATGAACAAACCTTTCTGTCTCGTGTCTGCTGTCTGTCCTCTACTCTGACGGCTCTTTTACCTCTGAATGCCTTCTTGGCAGCATGGTTGCTTATCCAGTACCTTGCAGTAGGTTGCACCTTTAAAGCTTAAACCTTATTTTCAATACAAAGTAATTTCAAGCTGCAGAAAAGTAGCCCTCTGCATAACACAATGTGGTTTTTCCCACTAGCATCATCACTGTTGAGTCTTAAATGCCACTGCTCTGGTTCAGAATTCAGGTGTCTGGACTCACAGGATTTTTTTGATTTTTTTAAAGGACTGTATAACTGCTGGAAATGTGTCCATTTTGTTTCAGTTTTCTCCAGGTGTTTTGCTAGGTCTTTCTATTAAGTTATTGCTGTAGAGCAAGGGTTTTGATGGAGACTGCAGAAAACATGAAGTACATTCTTCTGTTTATTTTTTTTCTTCCTTTTTGGTCTTCTGTGCTAGAGGAGATTGATTATTTCCTTCTGTGGAGGCAAAAAGTTCAACTGAACTTCAGTTTACTGACCTTCCTCTTTAGCATTTGTCAGCGTGTTGAAGCCACACGCACAAAAAGAGGGAGCTGTAAGACCTGTAGGGACCTAAGCGGCCAGGTCTCTGCTCATCTCCGCTGTACGAGGTAAGAGCACCACTGAGGAAGGACGTGGGAGCTGAGAGCTCAGCCCCTGGGGTAACGTAGTTATAGCCTGGTGTCCTGTCAGCACCTTCCTGACTGCCACCCGAGGGGTGCCCAGCTGGGTGCTGCCACACGCTTCTCAGCTCCCGAGAAGCCCTCTCACCATTGCACTACCTGCACCACCTAGATTTTTGCAGCTGCAGTTTAGCTTTGGAATTTCACAGAAAAAAAACAAACAACCACTAAATAGTGTGTGAAGAAAATGCACTAAAAATGAAGTAAGGTTCAGTGCATCATTTCTGTATATCCGTGTGACAGGTTGTACTATAAAAACCTTCATTTAAGGACGAGCTGGTAAGTTAACAGGCTTCAATACCTGCTAAATAAAAACAAGGCAAAAAGTTATAGTACAAAGGCTTTCTTCTTGTCACAGTCCCAGTCTTTTTTATAAAAGGGTGGTGTTTATATTCTGTACTATGGTGATCTGTGAGTGACTTTGTTTATAAACATGTACCTCTATAACAATTGAAAGTCGATTAGGCAATAATTTTGTACAAAAATCCTTACCTTGATAGTCTGACAGTGGTTTTACAGCCTTTTGAATTAATTTATAAGTGGACTGATAAAATGGTAATGGTATAAACTGTAAATTGAACAAAGTCTTATTTAACATAGTAAAAATACTGCTAATATTTTAACAAAGAGTTTATTGTACACAGGCAGATGTTTAACAAAACTGAATGTATAAATCCAGGCATTAATTTTATTCAGATTTTTAATACTGTATATATTTTTTCATACCTTGTCTTTCCAAATAATGTTTTAAAAGCCATTTTTCCTACTCTCAGACACAGTTCTTCAGGAATTAAAGACAGTTATGATTTTATAGGACAACAATCAATAAAATCTTTTTAAATCCTTACTAAAAAAAAAAAAGCTTCAATTTTTCTTGAACTGCAGATTGTTAAGGTGATAGTTCCTTAATGTCATTCTTATCAGAGAGGTTAAATTTGTTCTGTAACTTATCTTTGCTTGTTTTTTTTTTGCTGTTCTGTAAAGATAAACAGTGCTACTGTGTCCTCCTTCATCTCTCATGGACCTACCTGTACACAGGAGGTTGGAGCAGTGACCAGGCACAGGCCCAGGACCCCTCGCCTCTGGGTTAGGGAAGAACCCGCAGGGTAAGGACACGCAGGCACTGGGGAAAGGCATGGGGCTGCAGTGGGACAGCTGCCACAGAGCAGCCCCCAGACCCTTCCCTCCTGCCCAAGGCCACCTGCTTACACTACAAGCTTTAGGTTGAGCTGGAAAGTGCAACTCATATCGTTATTTACAGATTTTTCATGTTACTGTGTAAGTAAGGATCTGACCACACCAACCCACAACCACCTCAGTGTGCTGTGGTCTGGTTGCTACCCCAAGCACTCCAGCACCTGGGGTTCAAGCAGCAATCCCACCATGGGTTTTCAGAGGGTGGAAGAAGGTACTCCAAAAACAAACTTGGCCTCCTCTGCTCCTTTTTATTCCAAGAGAAAGTACAGCCCAGTCACAAACTGACTGTTGTATAAAAAAAGAGCCATGCTGGGTCAGAGGGGTGGTGTTCCTTATATACCAGAGATAAATACAGCTGATGCTGGATTAACTGACAGGAAGATGTGCCCCTGTTTTAGTTCTGTTTTCTTCAGGATAACACGAATAAAGTGAATAAATCCTCCTGAGCCCATGATTCAGGTGGACGAGAAAGGCCACAGGGATGATTTCTGTCAAGCACAAGAGAAAACATAAAGCCTCTAAAAACTGAAAGTTGGTTACATTTGCAGAACATCAAAATGAGAAGCAAAGGCTCTATTCCTCAAGGATAAACCTGGAAATAATAAAGCTATGGCTGCAGAGCAAACAGAAGGTAACAGGAGGCTGCCAGCTGAACTGCTGGCACTATTCAGGCCCTGGTTTAACGCCCACCCATCAGGTTCAGCTAAATCTCAATCTTCCCCCAGCCCCAGGAGTTAAAGGGAACAGTACGTCTGGCACACTTCCACAGGTCTGACCAGACTAGTTCTCTCAAAATCACCCCACTTGAAATCCTAAAATAAGCATAATTAATCAAATGGCCTTAGGTATTTGGAAGCATTCAAAACAGAATGACAGTCAGAACATTAAGAACTAAGAGCAGATGAAATAACACTTTAAAGAAAAGTATTTTAATGTAACACTATACCTATACATGGATTGCTTAAAAAATTAGAATACAATGAACCCTTAAAGTGTATTCCACCATCAGTTTTTATAACCATGAAGGTCCTGTAGTCTAAATTTTTCCATCAGTACTGATGATGGATGGGTACAGAAAGTGAAAAAAGATGAACTGAATGGGATGAATGGAAGGCGAGAGTTATTTCTGAAGACTTTCCTCCCACAGCACAAATTCAACAACATGTTTTCAAGTTAGTTTAATTAAGCTATCATTACCTTCTGTGGAAATGTCGGTGAGAAAACTGCTGCAACAACACAGTAATCACTCCCCACCCCCAAGAAAAAAAAAAAAATCTTCTGAGATGTTTTTACCAATACCAAGAACAGTTTAAGCACAATTAAGCAGTACTTTAGCTTCTTTCCCTTCCCCACCCCCCAAATCTGGTAACAAATATTAAAAAAAAAAAAAAAGCTACAGTTTTAGAGGACTCGGAGGAAGGACAATACATACACCAATTAACATTGCTAACATTGCATTTTTTTCTTATTTAAAAAGCTACCATGAACACAGAATACCATGCATATACAGATATTACCAACTATTTTGAAATAACTGATCTTCAGTACGAGGGAATTACCTGCTTGCCCTAAAAGAGTTTTTCCCTCTAGCTAAATAAATGCTATAAAAAAAATGAGACAAAATAAGTGAGTATAGCGGCTTTACCAACACAGATGAAAGTGTGTCAACTATAGCGCTCGTTCTGAAACCGTGGAGCATAGTTTCTGGCACTTTCATTCTCCTGCGTTGTGATTAAGTCTATAATAGCGGTCAGTACTGCTGTATCCCTGGATTTAGTATCGTTCCAGTCCACGGGGTGTGGGTTTTCTATTTTTTCCTGTAGTAGATCATCGAGCTCTTGTCTTAAATTCTGCAGACAAAAAGTTTGTTGGAATGAGAAGAGACAGGCAAGTAGAAAGCCACACAATGTTACCACAGTAAGTTCAAACCCCTCACGTTCTCTGTTCTCCTAATCTTTACGCCTGCTGTTCTTACATCAATTTATTTCAACACTGCCACCTTCAGGATCAAAAGCTGCTTTTCAGAAACTGGCTTTGCCTTTTATGACCTGATCTCTGGATGTGATGGCCTGTTCATCCATTAGCTGACTCTTTAAGGAGACTAAAAATATTTGGATTAAGAAAAAGAAAGTCAGATGCAATTTCTAGGATCTAATAAACAAAGCTCTATTCAGCTCCTCTTTTCACTGGAAAGTATTACTGCCAGCTGAAGAGCCCCATCCTCAAGTTCCATATCCACGTGGTTATTTATGGACTGATCAGGTCATCCTACAGCTTTTGCTACAGTAACTACAGTAAGAGATTTGAAGAGCACAATTTCTGTAAGATGTTTATAAGCCCTTTAAATCCACCCTATGACTCTTCCTTGAAGCCTCCACTATTTTTCAACATCCCCATGAAATTTTCAGCAGAAGCTTTAAGAGCACCTTCCTTCCAACACTGCAAAAGGCACACAAGCCTCATTCTCATCAGCCCAGCTATTACACTGGAAACTCAAATACATAAATAAAACTTCCAAGTGCCAGCTCCTAAGGGCAAACAGAAGGGAGTTCATCAGTGTTTACTTCTGCCCAGTTTATCATGTGATACAACAAGCTGGTTAGAATGTTATTTTTACTACAACTTTTTAATTTGCATTCATACACAAACCTTCAGTTAGATACCTTTCATTTACTGTGTATACTTCACATGCTTACTGGGAATACATTAAAAACATTTTGTTACCTCCCTATAGCAATACATCAACAGTTTGGCAACAACATCAAATATAAAAAAACTCTAGGAAGAGTTATTGCTACACCAAGATTTCTGTATATATTAATATTAAATATAGTTACCTTAACTAACTGTGCTATTCTAGCTGGAGACTGGAAAACAATCCATTCATCCACAGCAATGGTATCCTGATCTTTATCCTTCTGAATGGATATATCCCCTCCAAAGAACAAGAGGCAGTACGGAGAGACTTCTGTACAATCATATAAGTAAATCTGCAAGAAGACAAAATTGTCCAGTCACCCTTGAAAGCATGTTATATGACATCACTAACCTTTAAGGAAACACAAGACAGAATTCCAGATCATTTTTCAGTCATTCATAAATTTGCAAAACAAATCTGAAGCAACTCAGTTGGAACAGTTACATAAAATCACATTAAATGGGAGCAAAAACGGTTCCAAATACAGTCCTTCACAGAAAGCACTGAACTCCAACTAATAATTCCATTAGTAATCAAGCAGGAAAAAGAAAGCTTGCAAACTTTTTCTTTCTTAAAAAAAAAAAAAAAAAAAAAAAAAGCAGCAGAAGCAAGAATCTAACAGAAGTTAATATACCAGCCATTTGTGGAACAATACCACTGAGATCCCACAGAACAGAATCTGACTGCATGTGCAAGAAGTGACCCAAAACATGAAGGCTTCAGACAAAGCTGGCGCATACCTTCTGGGCCATAGTAAGAGACACTATTCACATCCCTTGATCAAACACATTAAAGAGCTACAAAAATAAATAACACAAATATAAACCACGACATACACTGCTAGTTCTCATCTTCAAATGGTACACAAGCCAGTTGTAATGGAACTCTGTCTCTTCCACATTAACAGATTTAGGATGAATATTAACTGTTCCATCTGTCTTAGTGCAAACTTTCACCCTGAAAAAAAAAAGTAGTTTTACCATGGAAATAAGATACTGAAAACAGCAAAACCACATCCCAAGTTAAAAACCCTCCAATTCTCCACCAGTGTTCTGAACTCCAAAATGAGGACATTTGAAGGAACTTCTATTTCTTTCCTCAAAAGATTACAACTGAATCTACAGTATTAATTTTCTGATACCACTATCTCTGTGCTTAAGTTTAAATTCACCTCCTTAATAAACCCTGTTGTTCTCTCAAGTAGGAAAGACACAAGGCACTGAACCTTCCTGGCAGCTGACTTACACCTGGCTCCACCATGCAGCTAAGATGCAGTGACATGAGATCTCCCACCACGTTTGCAAGCTTACTCTTACATGCATCCTTGAGGTGACTGAAGCACACTGGACAATCAACTGACTGGTAGATGGATCTAAATTAAGAGATCTGAAGTAGAGTTTTGACTACCTGTTCTTACACCTACCACAGAAATAATCACTTGTTTTGTTTGTTCTTTTTGTAATTCTAGGCACAGTGACCACTCCTAGCTTGGTGCTTCTATGTTACATACCCAGAAAGTTAGGAAGTTAGCCAAGCTACCTAATTTAGAAAATACCTGAAACACAAACCAGCATTGTATCAAATCCTTACATTTTTCTCTTTTTGCTAAAGCTTGGCCGAATCTTTGCAACTTTCGGATATAAACCAGCACAGATGACTGCTTTGAGCAACTTCTCATTATCTGTAAAAGACAGCAAAGTAAGTAATGCAGTTCTGCAAACTGAGAATTTGACTCAAAAGTTTTCTGTTTCCTTCTACTATTTACCCGAGTTGGTATTAGATTTGGGATCCTTGGGGTCTCTGCTATTCACAAATCCAGCTGCAAGGAGATGCTCAGCAAATTGTCCTTTCATGTTATGCAGCATCTATAGGAAATAAAAATTGTCCCAGAATGATGCTGTGCCAAAAGGCTCCTCCCCTTCCCCCACAGATGTATTCCTCCATTTTCAGACCATCAGGATGTTACCTGGAGTGTATTTGAAGACAGGAAATATTCCCAGCAGTAGTCTTTCTCAGTTCTGAATCCACGGCGCCGAGTCTCTTCCCAGCCCTAGAAATTCATACCATAGTTCAAAGGCATTTAAGTGAACACATACTAAAAATATTAACTATATAAGGACAGACCAAAAAAAACGTAGGTCATTACAAAGTTACATTTTTCTCCTTGGGAGAGAAAGCAAACCCTTTCATCTCTTTGTATTATGTTATGTACATATGTGTATGTATCTCCACACACCTATAGGCATATGGCACAGAGCAGAAAAACACAACATTTTTGAATTGAAAACTTAATTTTCCCATGGTGAGGAGCAAAATCTAGCCAAGTTTGTCAGAACTTCATTTATTGCTACTAACAGTCTTGTGCTACACAGCTAAGTCTAAGTCTTTTCTAAGTATCCAATGCTTTTGAAGTCCACTCCAGCCTTTTGCAGGTGCCGGAAGGACAAGAGCTAATGACTCGGGGATTTTTATAGCACAACTGGGAAACTGCCACCAAGAAGTTCTACTGCATTCATCCCTCATCAAATACATGTTTAGAAAGTAATAATGTTACCATGAATTCACATTTCCACCAGCATATCCACAAGAAATTAGGTTACTGAGCCTGAAGACAAGACTCCTTAATGCTAGAAGGGTGAAAATTAATTTTATGTTTCTGTAGAAACCAAGAAATACTTCAGAGCATACACTGATCAGATTTTTCTTTAGATTAAAGCATAACACCGAAACCAAAATTTCTGAAGGAAAGAACGTTAAAACATGCTTACCGTGAAAGCATTCACCACTGTCAGATGATCACTTTTTGTATTCTTTGACAGTTCCTTTCTTCTTGCATCTGCTACTTTCTCTTTGCCCTATGAACAATTAGAACTTATAAAATATTCCTGACTGACAGACCGTTCTTCCTTCTAGCTCACCTTCCCTAATGAGGGTACATATATACAGCAATACTTTGTATGGAACATACATAAAAAAGTGATGCTACTTCCAATATTCTGTAAGCAAAACACATGCTATTAATTATTGTAAGGCAAACAGTACTTATAAACATGTAATTAACCTGGAAGTAGGATTAAAATTATTTTAAACTACAACATCTCAGTAGCGTCCTAATATTCTTATGAAGATCTTAAAATCTTATCTGTAATGCTCTTCTTAGAAACTTTACCAAAGGAATGACAAAAGGGTCTTTGAAGCTGAGGCTTGCTGCAATTGTAAGGACTGGATCCAAGCAACAGAATAAAGCTCCAAAGAGAATCATTTTTCCAATATGTGGTTCAACTGGTAATCGTGCTAAATGTACACCTAGTGGAGTCAGCTCTTCTTGTCTGTCCAAAGCATTCTGTCATAAAAAAAAAAAAAACACAAAGTCATAACTGCAGTGTGGAGGATGCAGCTAACTGTAGTATGGTCAGACACGAAAGTGATCGTGCAAATTACAAACAGAAACATTCAACAGATACAAGAAAAGGGCAACCATCTTTAATTGTGTTTCAAGTGGTTTACTGGGCTCAGTGTCTTTCTGGACTAAAGTATGAAGACTAATTAACACTTCGGTGTCTTCTCCTGATCAAGCTTACGTTTGGACTTGTGTATTTCCTATCCCTTCAGTGTCACTTCTTGTTTCATTTACTCTTCCCTTTGCTACTATACAGCTTTGTCACAGAACAACAAACGTATCACTGAATTTCATCTAAACATTAATAGAATTATGACAATCAGTCTGCATAGTGCCTTTCATCTAAATTAGACATTGCAATTTATTGCTACAACTGGTTTGTATAATTAATACCAGGCAAGAAGTCAGTAGTACGAACAGCTCATTGATCTCTCCTGCCCCAGCATCCAAAGGGGCACTGACATACGAGAGACCTTGTTCCTATCTGCCTTGCTTACCCCCAGAAATACATCCTAAATTCTTCACTAATCCTACTGGGACAGAAATACTTGGTGGATTCACTTCAATATACAATACAAATATTCAAATACAAAATAAACTTCAATATCTGAAGTTTATTTCCTCTGTTCAGTCAAGATACAGGACACTGCATAGCCTAGAGATATAGAGTCTGCATAATAATGGTTCAAATGTCTAGACCTGTACAATCACAATGGTCTTTGATAACAAACAATGCAGTAATAACACAGCTGTAAACAAACTTTTCCTTACATAAAACTGTATGTTAAGTAATACTTTACCAGCTCCATCAGATGATTTATGGCCAACATTACAGCATCACGAGATGGCGGATCCATTAGTTTGCTCAGAAAATAAGCAATTCCTCCAAGCTTTAGAATCTGAAAGAAAAAAACAAAAAGAATAAAGATGGCCATCCACCTAAAAATCAATAAACAGTGATCACACTAGTTACAAAAGGTGTGAATAACTCACAGCTTGAATTAGGATTTCAATAATTAAGAAGTAAGGACAAAATAAAGACATATCAATGATGAAATTTTAAACATCTATTCTTCAGTATGTTACATGTGGTATTCCTTATGCATGCATAGGAATTCCATACAAACTGCCAAAAAAGAAATGTCACTCATGTCAGTTTTAGAAGAATTTCACCAAAAGGTAGTTTTAAGAAGCCTTCTCTCTCAGCTCCCTGGCATTCTCACAGAAGCAACTCTGATCTAACATTTTTGGAGGAAAAGAATGTGTTCACATTTGTGTTAGAGTTCAGCTTTTATTTATACCAGACAATATATTTTTCTCGGGTTTGGTACCATTCTGCAAACAGTTGCTGCAGTTATTAATATATTATTAATAATTGCATGTTAATATATTTAACGTATACTAATATATTAATATGTTAGCATATATTGTGCTTTTGCTGTGACAGAACTTAAGACTTGAAGACAACTCTAACCTCAGAGTTGCATTGATTTAATCACTCAAGCTCTTATTCCAACAGAAATGTCACTAGTATACACGTTTGAAGATGCATATGCTTACCTTGATCTGCAAGCAAAGTTCTTCCAAAGGAGTCCTCAAGATCTCAGGTAGCTGATAATCATCTAGAAGGCTAGCACGGAGTCCATTGTATAGATGGTAGCAGTGACCTGGCTGAACTCTACAACATATTTGAAGAAATAAATGCATGCTTTTTCTACGACACTGTGACATTATGACTGTGTTCATTTATAAGCAGCTTTCCAAAACACTTCAGGGAATTAGAATTGAAGTGTATTCAATTGCAATAGCCATTTCAGCTTTCAGAAATATAGACCCATCAACAGGAAAACAAAGGCATAGAAAATGCAGAAATCTCCAATTAACTGCTCAAAGGGAACAATGAGGAGATCAGAGAAGAGCTGTATGTCTGAACAAAAGATATATACCTCCACGAGGTATTTTGAGGGGGAGTGAAATTTTAAATAATTTGGTATATATCTAAGCAATATTAACTTGAAGGCAATTTTCACTTTAATGTATCATAGCCTCGTAAGCGAGGTGTGAATGCAAACATTATCAAATTTGAAAAAAATGCAGGATTTATTCTTCTATAATAAGGAAGGAAACTCATGACTGTAACGCAGCACAAGTTATGTCAGTTTCTTAGGAAAACAACAAACCATTCTTTCCCTAAGTACAAGAGAGTTGTGCTAGTGTCTGCTTCCGAACACGGGATTAACAAAGTACTACCTTCAGCACACATGAGCTCCAAGACAGATTGAAACTTATCACAAAAGTTTTCTAACTCGTCATTATTCTTACCTTCCTGCTCGACCTTTCCTTTGCTTGGCATTAGCTTTACTAACCCACTCAGCTGCCATTGTGCTAATGTTGTTCTGGGTATCAAAGTGAGTTTCCTTTATTTTTCCACCATCTATAACGAATACCACGTCATCTATTGTAATGCTGTTTTAAAAGAAGAGAAAAAAAATGCAACTCTTCATCTTTGCAAACTTAGCCTAGAATCTTAGAAAGGTTTAGCTTCTCTTTACCCCCTCCCACGCTGCAAGCCAAAAGTTAAAAAAATTCTGCGCTTGGAATTCCATTAAGAAGAATGTTACTAAGCAGTTCAAGAGCAAGCTCGTTTTATTCTCCTAGGTCTGGCACTATAGAGTCACTATATGCAGTTATAAAGTCTGTAGAGGACAGGCAGCTCACATTTATTATGTACAACAACTGCAAGTCATTATAGATCATCCATGTTTTGATTTTTTTAAACAACTCTCAAAGGAGAATTCCAGCTTAGTCTACAGACGTATCAGAATTGAAAGTGTTATAAATCTATGATACAAATATTTCAAATGCATTTTGAAAAAAAAGTTAAACAGGCTTATTTTTTAATTTTCTCAAAATTATGGTTTTTTTGGTCTGCATAGCTAGCTATTTACCTAGTCTCTGCAATGTTGGTAGCAATCACGATTTTCCTTACTCCTGGCGGGGTCTTCTTAAACACCTGTAATTATCCATGGCCCATTTATATGTTTGCCAAAACCAAACATATACTCAATTAAAATTGTTGGTAGTTGCAAAATGTTATGTTATTGCATAATAATAAAAGACAAGCATACCTGAGTCTGGTTAACAGTAGGCATCAATGAATGTAAAGGTATGATAATAAACCTATCTGAAAATTAAAATCAGTAGAAGATACAGAGTAAGCACAGATACTTTAGTTACACAGGAAATCAAGAATACAGAACAGAGAAAATACGCTCCAAGTAAATCTACTATTTCCATTTCTTATTCTGAGTTGTTTTTTACCGTGTAGATAATGGCATAGTAGCATAGTTTAATTATTATTACTTTTTTAATTTTTTTTTTGCTATTTGTTAGCAATGTTCGATACATCGGTGTTACGTGCAGATGACACATTCTGAAATACAGGCGTATATGCTAGAAGCTCCAAATAATATAAACTGAATAAACTAACCACCAGCTACAATAAGCTTCTCTGGTAGCCGCCAGCTACCTAAGCTTCTCTGGGATACAAAATCATTACGTTATTCTGCAGAAGATTCCCCCAAAACCTAGTAAAACATAAAACTCACATAATAAACTCCTTTATACCTTTTTACTTTAGAATTTGCCATGTTGTATTATGATATAATATCTTGGTGAATACAAATTACTGTACAGAACATAATATATTCAACTGTAAATTAATTATTTAATAACTATTCAAGTTTACTTATTAAATTGACATTCTCCTCTGGTTTTCAATAATTCTCTATCTGTGGAATATACACGACATGAATTATTGTAAGACTATCTGAATAGTCAAAAGCATAGTTAGGACAAGTTAGCTGAACATGAGGTATGCAAACAAGACAAAATAAAGCGTATAGGATAGGCACAGGATATTTTACTGTCCTATTAAAAGGCATCCAGGAAAAAGAATTTAAAAGAACCATCAGCAAAGTATTAGAGAGAAGTTGCTTAAGCATCAAGCAAAAATACGAAATTAACACAGAATGAAGAAAGAATTTAGTTTTGGATGGAAGTTACTGTAGCTATATAAAAAAAACAAAAAGCCGAACACACTGCAATCATTTTGAAAGGGAAGGAGGGAAGAAGAAAAGTTCAGTGCAATACCAGCAAACATAGGCAAAAATAAAAGTTTGCCACTAATGCTGCTGCTAAACTTGCACATAAAATTGTTTTTACCTGACTTAAACATGACTTGTGACATCAAGAGATCATGCAAAGTGCTAATGTTGTCCCATCCTGGAAGAAACACTAGAATTGCACCATCCTATATATAAAAGAAGCCAATGGGAAAGGAAACAGGTTACAATAAGTTACATGCTATGCAAAATATCACCTACTTGAAATATATGTATCAATATGCAAAAGTAAATGATACCTGAAACCTCACTGACTACAACTTGAAATACTTTGTTTACTACAGAAAAAAAGTTTGTCTTGCTACACATTTATCTGAGCTTAATAAACAAAAACTTCCTTTTGACATTTTGGCCTGCAGCATTTTAAACACTGTAAGAATTTGAGCTGCAGTTAAACCTCGAAGAAACAAAGTGTAATTTTCAACAAAGAACAAAATAAAAAACAGTAAGTCATCCTCATTATCCACAGCTTAAATACTCTATCAATTGAAATATTAAGTAATTTGGCATTCTCAATTATCAGAATTTTCTTCAGTGACTCAAGCTACAGTGTCAGCTCTTCCACAGATGTTTTTGAACACATAAATGAATATAAAACTTCAGGCTACGGTGTAACCTACGTATACTCCCTATGGCAACAGAAGTTATTCTTTCAAGTTTCTTACTGCTTCAAGCACAGAAACCCTCTGATAACAATGTACCTAACAGTATTATATAAAAAACCTTTTACTGGGACTCTAATTAGGATCTTCAGCTTCAGAATCTGGTGGTTTTATATTTCAAGAACTACCTCCTCTAAAACAATATAAAAGAAGCTACAAATTGAAATAAAGACTATGTTAAGAGTTACTATACTGGTCAGAGCCTCACAGAAACCTAAACGTGTAGGTGAGTAAAGATCTCAAGCATTTTTACATTAAAAAGTTGTGTTGTCATTACACCTGAAGCACATTCAGGGACAACTACTAATGAAACCGGAATAACTACAAAGCGTGACGCTCTGTAAGTAGGAAGAGTTTCCTAGCTGCACATTTGGTAAATGTGACTGAATTTTTATATATCCTAGCAAAATTCTTATCTTCACAACAGCTAAATTACATTCAGATTACTCAAGCAGAAAACCATGTAAAGCCCATGGCACACTGTAGATATGATGGACTGGATATCAACTCTAAGCAGTGCTGTGCCCTCTCTCCATCATTCCTGATAGGGAAGCTCCTAGATGTAGAACATTTAGTTGTACATTGAAGAGGTTCTCAGATTGGTTTTCTACAGCTATTTCACAAACTGTAGGTTTTACTACACACCACAAGAAGTACTACCTTGGACAAGATAAACACATGCAGTCAGAAGAAGAACTAAGAGTTAAAATTTCATTTGCAATTACACTAGTTATCATCAGATGACTAATGTGTATGAAGACACTAATGTGTATGAAGACCTTATCCCAAGGAAAAGAAGCCGCAATCAGAGTTAAATGGAACCCAAACCTTCAGACTTCTATCCTGTTTTATTTGAGTCAATCTCTACTATCATCAAAAGATTTAGTCTCTTTAGAGCAAAAGAAAAGTCTGAAATTAATATATTGAATATATATGCAAGTTATCCAAGCTTTTTACACACATAGCTATCATTAACGCCTACAACTGTTATTCAAGAACTTAGATACGTGCTACCTTGTAAACCTGGAATCTATTCCAAAAACACTGTCTGACCACATTCTAAACTTGGGGCTTAAATAGTAATCGGGTATTTAAAGCTGTTAGATTACTTTTGAGAAAACAAAAAAATAAAACTAATAACAAAAAACACTCTTCTTTATATGTATGTAATAGACCAAAATAACCACCAGCTTTAACTTTCTCCACCAGCCACTGACCACAATTCAGTCATAGCATGAGAACATGCTGACAGGACACAGAAACATACCTCTTCTTCCAAAACAATGTGTCTGATAAGTGCTGCTATAAGGTCAAGGTCAACCTTGTCATCGTCCATCATTTCCAAGGCATCTATAGTACTCGCTGAGTACCTACAGGCAACAAAAGCATGCAGATTGGTTACTTGCTAGCACAAAGTCATGCACTCATGTCTGCTGTAAGGTTCTGCAATCGCTCATCTGCGTAACCTACTACTGCTCAATTTCCTTCTTTCTTTGTAGGTACAATTGAACAGACATGCTGCTCTGGAGACTTATTTTAGTTCAATTATTGCCAGTTTAGAATAGTAAGTTTAAGAATTATGACTGAACTGTGTTTGGAGCATTTACATGACATTTTTGGGTTATGGATCTCATGAATTATCTAGGATCTAAATAATCTGAGTTTACCCTTCAATTTATCTCTCCCTCACAGTAAGCACAGAAGGCATCTCATCTGTTCAGCCCTTTCTTTTCATGAAACCTAGTACCAATTACCAGTTTGTTCCAAAGACCTGTCTGAGAAAGGGATGGAGAAGTAGAAAAGGACAAGTAGAACATGGGATAGAACAGAGAGCACCAAGGACTTGCTCCCTTAGGAAAGGGAGATAAAACAGAGCCACCTATATTAGTTATTGCTGTGAAGCTGGATATATAGGAAGTCACAAACTGCAGAGGTAAAATAAGACAGGAGAAGGAAAGGAAAGATGCTGTTCCTGAAATAAATTTGCCAGGCTACCTAACTAATCCACTTATTCAGATAGCAAAGCATTCAAATGCTGGCAAAGAGAATGTCTCAAGCACAGAGTCTCTGCTAGGTGCTGAAGAGACAAAGTTATTTAGCTTAGTCTTAAACCACTCTTGAGGAGTATTAAAATGTTCATTAAATTAACAACACTTAATGCAGAAGAGTGAGAACAACCTGCCCCGCAGCTGCCTTAAGTATTCTGGCCATCGTTCCCTGTAGATTTCCTCTTTTTCTTCTTTTTCTGGTCTGCTTATATGCCCTTGCATGAAGCCTTTCTTCCACCGCGGCCGACGGTCTGTGTTTTCTGGCATATACCTTTAAAGTTAAATAGAAAATAAATTTAGAAACTAGTAATTTAATCCAGCTGCATGGGAGTTTTCTAAACTGTGGACAATATACAGTACTTTAGCTGTACCATATAATACATGTAGGATTCTAGAACTTTCCTCTAAGACTTTTTTTTTTTAATTACAGAAATGATAGGTACCATCTCCAGTAAGCATGAAAACAAGTAAAAAATAAACAAAGACGAGCTTAATTTATCCACCTGAAAATTCACCATACTGAAAGACAAAACAAAAGTTGTTCTCTTCCCCAAACCAACATTTCCAGGTTGCTACAAGCCTATTACTGTAAAAGCTAAACTTCCCTCAAAAGGTTTTCTGCAACAAGATGTCCAACAAGTTTACTTCTGAAAACCACAACTAATTTTTCAACAGGCTATATAGACTGAGATAATCTTCAAAAAGACATACTAAGTAAAATGAAAAACAAACAAAATACTATCTATACTGATGCTGATGAAAATACACTTACCTCAACTTCTCAATTACGTCTTCAAGAAGATACTCCACCACTGGGAAAGTGAACCCAGGAATGTGAATCATTGGACAATTATCTGTTGAGAAAGGCATAAGTCATTTTTAAGCAGCAAAAAATTTGCAAAACATTAAATCATTAATTCCTTTTATTAAAAGCAATCCTAAAATTTGACATCTGCATTATGCCATAGAAGCCTATATCACTTAGAAGGAAAATTCATAGGAAACATTTAACCTACCAAAGTATTCAGAAAACTTCTCTGCATTTAAAGTAGCACTCATCAGTATTACTTTCAGATCCAAACGGACATTCAAAAGATCTTTAATAATGCTCATTAAAACATCTGATTGAAGATTTCTTTCATGAATTTCATCAAGGACTACATGACTAATACTGGACAAATGCCTGAAACAGAAGAACAAAAAATTAAACATTTGCTTTTAGCAGAAGTAAAAAATAGAGCAGAGACTAACAAGAACAGGTCATTAGTCAAGTCATTCGATAATTGCATTTAGTTTCTAATAAAACAGGAAAACTTACTTATCTGACTGAAGCCACTGTAGGACAATTCCTGTGGTACAGTATAAAATTGAGCCTTGTTTCCTCGGTAACCGACTGGAAGAAATACATCAAGAATTCTTCAGTTCTCTTCTTTATTTTACAAAGTACTTAATAAAAAATTAAAAATTAACACACAGGTAGTTGTTACAGACATTATGAAGTATGCCTCATTCTTGAACTTGTTCACAGTTCAGCTGAGAGAACAAGGGTTTAGGACAGAGTCACAGCATTTTTGGTGATGGGAAATTAACTACTTGTAGCCTGACAGAACCTCTGACTTCATTTCTCATCATTTCTACATTGATCTGCTGACTCCAAATTCTCACAACCATCTGAACTCAGCACAGATGACAGCTGTGTCATACACAGCACTGTAACATTCTTGATTAAACATTAAAGAAAACAGAAATGAGATTCCATAAACTAGTGCTTCAAATTAAAGTGCTGGAAGGACTGAACTGTCATCTCTCACCAGCAGTTTTTCCACCAGTGGTACGTGAGGTTTCGTTGCTTGCTAGTAACATCCCAGGTAATTTTTTAAAATTACAAATCACTGCAAGCGTAGTAACTTGTTCTACGGCACTAGGTCTATGAACTCTTGTTAACAAGACTAAATTTATTACTTGACCTTAATGGAATTACTCATTAGGTAACTGTAACAAATACATAATTCTACCCAGGAATATGGACTTATAGCATTCTCTTCTTTAACATTTTAATTTCTCCTTGAAATTAATTGATTAGGGACATCACTTTTAACCTCTATGTATAGCAAAACCTTTCAGAAGAACTGAAAAAAGGACTTACTAGTGAAAGTACAGCTTAGTGCTAACCAATCCTGCCAGCCTGAAATTCAGAACTGACTTTGCATAACAACCTCAAACCACTCATTTACATGCTACACAGAATATGATAACCATGCTCAAACTTTTTGAGTATTTTTCAAAAACTTTATTCCCTGTACCAGCTATTCAGAGGAATGTCTTTTGGAGAAAATAAGAGAATAAAAGCGTTTGCCTGTGTTAAGAACTGCCTTGCAGTTTTTTCGTTTTGAGTTGATACCGCTTTACATGAAGGAACAAAAACTGTCAAGAGAGCCTCTTACCTCTGAAGACGAATCTGGTATCCTGTACTCTTGCCATTACCGCATGCTTCTGCCCTTTCAGCAGCAACTCTCTCAGCCACCTTCAAAAAAACAACAGCTCATTAAAAAAAACAAAACAAAACACACAAGGCTGATCCATGATTTAGCTACTCATCAGTAAGAAACACCTAGAACCATGATGCAATGTAAATAACAACAGAACACCATGAAAAACATCTTTTCCCTTTCCTTGAGAGCAGTGTTTCCTGTCTGCAAATCAAGAACAGATGAGCAACCCAAGACACGTTTTAGAAAAACACAACCATCTAGGCATCAGCAGTACCCTCCTCCAGAATGCACCACCCCTTTCAGTACAGCCAGCTTTCCTCATGGAGAGTGAGGTCCTATACTCATTTGATCCTTAACTATAAAGAAGAGCAATTACTGTGCACTGGAAAGCCAAGTTCTTTCTTGCTCGTTAATACATTTCTAAAGGGCTACACAACACTACTGTTTATCTTACTTCACATATGCACTGCCCAGTCCATTAAAGTCACCAATATAAACCATGCCTACATTCAAGGAAAAGGGAGGCATACGGCACCAGTACTCTAATCACTGCTGAAACTTACGAAGTATCAAATTAGTGTATATTAATAAAATTGTTATTTGCAATAGCATCAACTAAGACTGAAAATGAACACACATAAAACAACCTTTCCTGTCCACTGCAGGCGGAATGCTAATCTTGAACTTTACCATTAGTGTGACAACATCCAAAAATAGATCAGTTTCTTTGAGAGGTACACAGTATCTATCTGGTCATTTGGATTTTTTCCAGATCTTAACTTCAAATAATCTACCAGATTGTATACTCAGCTAATAAACTTGCCCTGTAGCTTAGGCCCAGTAAAAAAAAACAAAACTATTTTTGTTCAAAAATCTTAAGACAGTAATTTTATCTGGACTTACAGTGGGGATGACAACAAAGAAACACACCTACAACCGTAAGAAATAAGTTAGTCAGCTTGTCAAAGTGGAACTTACTGAGATGGCACTGATCCTCCTAGGCTGAGTACAAACGATCCTGCAGGTAGACCCCTTCCCTCGCTCTATGTAGTCATCCAAGATGAACTGCGTGACTTGTGTAGTCTTTCCACAGCCGGTTTCACCACTTATCACAGTTACTCGATTATTATTTATAAGGTTTACAAGTTCCTGTTTCCAGAGAAAGAAAACATTTGCAAGTATTATGGTCAAAAACAGATTTTAGAAGTACTTTGGTAATTCTCTACTACTGTGAATTTAAAAAAATAAAATAAATCACAACAACCATATACCCATCTGTTTCAGGTAATACTGAAACCTCTGAAAGCTTCAGCACCTCCACAAATCATGAATCTTTCTTCAAATTAAACATATGCTTACCTGTCTCATCCCATACGAAGGGAGTTTCTCTCGGAATCTCTGAGAAAAGAAAAAGCAACAGTACACGTTTTCAAACACCTCTTCAACACTGAAGTAATATTAACAGATTTCATCCATGATCTAGATGAAACAGATCAGTAACACGACAAGCTGCTCACCCAAGACTGAACAGGCCCACTAGAAATAAATTTAATTCCACGCATGTTCTCAGTTTCACTAAACGTACCAGAAATATTTAACACCAACAGTTCCGTACACAAAGAGGCCAACATACGCAGTTAAAGGACTAGGGCCTCGAACAGCAGGCTTCCCATTTGAGAGGTGCTAAAACCGTTTCCTTGTACGGCTTTATACACTGCCATTACAATATCCTCAACTACATTTTGAAGAGTTGTTCCTTCATAGCCTATTGCCCTACTTTTAATTTTACACACAGACGCAGAGATAAAAGTCTATTTAAAAAAGAGAACAGAAAATACACATCCAACTATACAATGCAAATACTTTAAATTTTGGATTTTAAACAATCAGAAATTATCACTGACAGTCTAATTTTCAAAACCAAAAGCTTTCTTTTTAACTCATGGGAAAGTACCTGCATTTCAATATATCTAGGATCAGACTTCTTCTTTCTTAGGTCTTCTTTAAGTTGCTCATCTAAATCTGTATCCTGCTGATTTTTTTCAAATAGGTATTCCACATCCCGATCAAGGAATGTTTTTTCCAAGACTGGTCTCTGTTTGATAGGAGCTTTTTCCACCTCTGGTTTCACTTTTGCGGGCTGTTCTGGAGTATTACTGAAATAATGGCAAAGAACAGAAGCTTCAAAGATTACCCAATATATGCTTGGACACTGAGAAACGTCCACTGAAAAGTTCACTGAACCACTCCAGGCAGATCTGTTTTTGAGACATTACATCCCCAAGTTTTTTGAGCCCTAAGCTGAAGGCAGTGTGGCGTACATTATAAAAGACAAAGAAATGTACAACAGGGTCATGGTATCAAAAAACATACAACAGGATCTTCAAGTGTAACGTGTTCTTTTGCATTAAAGCTAACGTACTAACGGAACATCTCCAGAGAACTGCTGCTTAACGGCCTGTCAGAACCACCGCCCCGTAGCCGGATCTTTCACCAAAACCCAAACCCATCAACCCAGTGCACTGAAGGCAAGGTACATGACCTCCCCATTTTACTGCGTGTTTAAATCCTTGCAGAAAAGGCGCCAAGAATGGGCCCTATTTCACAGAGGCTGAGAAAACCTCCCAGCACCAGAAGAAGGATGGCAAACGCCACCTGTGGATGATCACACCCAGAGGCCACGGGAACTTGGCCACTCCGTTACACAAATCCCCTGCTGTGGGCCTGGGGATCAACGCAAGGGTTTTATGACTCTAGGTAAAAATTTAACACCCCAAACTCCCCAGCAGCCCGGGAGGGAGCCTTGCAGCAACGGCTGCAGCCCCCGTGCCAGGATCCTTACCCGTCCTCGTCCCCGGACCACCAGGACATGGCGTCGGGCTCCTTCTCGCTCCTGCTCTGCACGGCCGTCAGCAGCTGCGCGATCTGCTCCTCGCGGCGCTCGTCCATCCGCACCACGGCCCGCTGCGGACAGCACAGGGCGTGACGTCACCCCCGCGGCCCGTGACGTCACCCACACAACCCGTGACGTCACCCCGTGACGTCACCCCCCGCCTCAGGCAGCGCCCCCCCCGGCCCCCACCTGCTGCCGGTCCGTCTCCTTGCTCCTCTGGCCCTGCTTCCGCGCGTACCACAGCCCGATCTCGCGGCCCTTCAGGTGGCTGGGGTGCCGCCCCCGGCCTCCCCCGCCGCCCCCGCCGCGCCCCCCGTGCCCGCCGGCCGAGGAGGAGGAGCAGGAGGAGGAGGAGGAGGCGGCGGGGCCGCCATCGCCGCCCCGGGCCCAGCCGCGCCGCTGCTCCGAGCTCATGGCCGCCCCCGGCCGGCTCCCCTCAGCGCCGCGCCCCGCCCCTTCCGCCGCACCACTTCCGTCCGCCCCCGCCGCCTCAGGCCCCGCCCCCCGGCTCAGGCCCCGCCCCGCCGCCTCAGAGCCCTGGGGCCGCGGGTTCGAGTCCCGCTCCCCCCATCCAGTGGCCGTGCGCTGCTACACGGGCTGCAGGGCCAGAGGAATGTCCTCTGTACTCATCGCTACCGCCTCTCTGCCTTGTCCCCTCAACACGGGGAGACGCGTGTGTTCCAAGGGAAATACGATGGGTTGAAACGGTTCCGACAGATTTGTACACGTAAATGTTGGGAAGAGGAACTGCGCGTCTCCCAGCGCAAAGATCACCTCACAACGCCTACAAATTACATTTCCTGCAGTAATCCTGGTGTCTCGCAGATTATCGAGCCTCCCCAAGGCCTGCTGCCCACCCCTGGCACTCGCCCCTCCAGCAGCAGGCCGTCACCACGCAGTAACGTGGCCACACCAGCAGCCCAGGAGCGCTCTGTGGCCTTCCCTCAGTAACCCGGGGGCACTCCTTGAAGTCCAGCTCCCGATGAGGGAACGGGGCACTTGTGGGGCACGCTGAGGGCTGAGGCACAGCCAGAGAGGAGCCGCGCCACAGCTGTGAGCCCGCGAGGCACTGCCGCCATCGGCACGGCTGTCTGTGGGGACAGGCTGTGTGTGTAGGGACAGGAGGGCGTTAACATTGTTCTACACGACAAACAGGAGAGTGCAAAATGCAGGCATATACGCATACAGGTACATAATTCATATAGGAGCTGCTGCCTGAGTCTAGAAAAGCAGAATTTATTCCATTCTGAATCACCTAAATCTGCAAAATTCATTACAAGAGAGGATCGTAACGCTCAAAAGCTCATCTTGGAAATCTTTATAGTGATACATACCAGGAGGTGAAATCCTGTTCCAGAATCTATGTATCAACCCCAAATCCATAACGGTAAAATAATATATAAGTAACATTTATTTTTTGTGAAATTACTGCATTTGGAAACAGTTTGATGTTGTCAGATGTATTTTCTATCGAGATTAGAATAGGAAATTTACACTTCAGTGCCACGCTATAGCTTTTATTTCAAGAAGCACAATCCTTTGGGGCTTTGGGGATTTGAGGCTGGTCCTTCTTACAGACTTCGTTTTCTTGTAACTCTGTTAACTTAATGTTATTCTCAGTGTACATGAGCACCGCTGAAAGGAAACCCTAGCCTGCTGGATATACTGCTTACCAAAGATTACCCCCGAAAGACTTTTGCCCTTTCTTGTTCTCTATCCTTTGCATTATTCAAAAGCCCAAGCACTAAGAGCAGGGGAAGCCCAGGGGCTGATGCAGGTCACATTTTCCAAGGGATTTTTGTTCAGCCAGTTGCTATGGTGTCTGAGCAGAGATGAGGTCTCTTTCAAGTCACCTTCAAACGGTCATTGACAAACACTTTGCCCTCAAATGTCAAGCTGTCAGTGAAATACATTAAAAGGTCATACAGGGGATAAGCAACAGAAGAAGAAGGTTTTGTTTTGTTTTGTTTTGCTTTTCCTTTAAAAACTACTAGAAAAGAAGTGCTTTAAAAATTAAGTCCAAATGCATTTCATACAATGATAAATAAAGAAACATTGACACGTACTGAATACACAACCAGGTGCAAGTGTTCTCGTACAGCAAGTGTTTGCTGCTTTGTGCAAGGAGCTGGTATCTACTGAATAATTACAAATTGCATTTTCAGACAGTTTAAAATGTTTAATGATGTTAGATTAAAGTAAAATATAAAACAATCAGACATTTGTACATGATCAAATTTACAGATTCATTAAAGAAAAGTTCCTTTTCATTACAGCAGCAAGACAACATTCTACAATTAGGTCAAGCTCAGGGTCACAGTTATGCAGTTATGCCTCCTAATCCTAACCCCTTCTAAATGCATCCATCTGACCAAACAGAAGGTGTGATGGGCCGCATCCTCTATCACAACCTTGCTACCTTTTTTCTGGAGCGAGCATGTCTGTTGCTATAAGGCAACTTTCTGTGTTCCTGCTACAAACACAAAGCAAAGCAATATATTCGGTCCCTCTGCTCTATGCCTATGGATGTAATTTATTCAATAGACTTATTGTTTGTTCCTTCTACTGTAGTTTCTTGTTAAATCTGAAATATAACACAGCATCTTAGTGGTACTGAGAGTCTTGAGGCAATCTTACAAGAACCCTTGTTTCCACCTTGGAAAGGCGGCACATGAAAAGCACAGCTTGCACAGTGATCCATCTCGATCGCGGCAGCAATGATGACAAACCCTCAGAAAAAAGGAGTTCCCGGTCAAAAAGCACTAGCATTTCAAGCCTTGCAGTGTATTTCATGTAAACCTTAAGGACTCCATTCACTGTTTCAGCCTTGGCTTCTCTAAATTTGACACAAAACAGAGTATTCACGGGTTTTAGGTTGATTTCAGGCTTATTTCTAGGTTCCCCATAAGCCAGCAGAGGAACAGGCTCCTCCAGAGGGTGCTACAGGGCAAGATCCTGATCTATGTAATGTTTGACTCTCGAGGTCATTATCTCCCAGGTCTCTAAGTTTGTCCTCCTTGAATAGCTTTGTCCCCCTCTCCTAAGGAGCCACAGACCAGTTGTAACCCCCAGCTCCTGACTCAGCCCTAAAGCATGAGGGTCCACCCGGAGAGGTCTGATGGCAGGACTGCTGACAGACAGAATATATAGGGGCAGAAAAGGGGCGAGTGTTCCTTGCAAGCCACAGGGACTTCTGCAGCTATCAGCAAGCTGCGCCCGCTCTCACGGCTGTGTTGCTGAGATTACTAGCTGAGGAAGAAAACAACATTGCAAATCTATTCCTTGCTTAGGGATGGCTCTAGTCTTTAACCATGAAAAATTACTGAAATTAATGTTGATGTTACAGCTCTTCAAACACTTCAAATGCTGCCTTATCTGGATGGAGAGCAAATATCTGCAAGGTTGAGAAACTTCTTAACTCGTTAAGAGATCATGGAGGCAGAAAAGGGCACACTTTAGAGTAACTGACAGAAAATTAATGAACATTTGATGCACTTGCCAACAGAAATGTCAAGCCATGAGAACACTTGAGTTTCACAATTTTGGACTTAAAAAATGTGCACGCTTACATTTCAGCCACTTGTATCCAAAGGTCCATACACTGGCCACCTACATAGGTATTACATATGAATCATGTACAGAGCGATAGAAAATTAAGCCATCTAGATAACTTTTAGTCCTTTGCTTAGGCAAATAAATGAGTTAGTCTTAGGCTTGTGCTACATATTTTCAGGTAAATGATTCAAGTCTGGTACGTCAGTATGAGCAGCATTGCAACAGTCATCCAAACCTGTTAACACTTCACCCGTATGAAGTTGTTCCCTCATTTTCTGCTGGTTCCCACAGACAGACCACCCAGTGCCAAGCGACCAAGGCTGGTTTTTAAGACTTTACTTAGGATTTCTTTTAGAGAGAAGTGTTCCTCAAATAAATAGATATATAAATAACTTGAAATTCACTATGCAAAGCTGTAAAGCACTTAAGTATTTGCTTTGCTATTTGTATATTTTAAATGTTTCAAACTATTTAAGAATCTACCCAAATGAAATTAATTTATGTGCAAGGAAAAAACAGTTGGCATTGTATTTGCTAGGGTAGCTTGAGTCAAGAGGAGCAACATCTGTCAAATCAGTTTAAATGTTTAGGTTAAAAGTCATTTAATTGTTGTTGTCATCTTCTTCCCGTTTTCTGTATGCTTTGTTCAACATTTGTATTTCCTCCTGATAACCACCTCTTTCCATATGTTGCTTTTTACTGTTCTGCCGATGAGCTTCAACCGTGTCTGGAATCGTTATGTTAATATCGCTGTCAGGATTGTTTGATGGTATGAAGAGCGAATAGGAAGCAGTTTCCCCTAAATCACATGAGACGAATCTGTTTTCTTTCCGTGAATAACGTAAGGATGGAGACCTCACCTGTGTGGACGACTGGCTGATGTTGCTGATGATGGACACAGTATCCAGGGCCTCTTCATTGTCACAGATTTCAAGAACTTCTAAATGAATTTTAACACTTGTGTCAGCAAATGTATTAGGAGACTCCTCTGGGTTTGGCTCGTGACCAACACTTTTAGATCGATAAACTTCAATTTTCTTTGACGTGGGTGTTATTTTTTGTCCTTCAGTGCTTACTTCATACGTAGATAAAGAGAGAGTTTTTCCCGTGGGTGCTTGAAGAGACACGGTTCCTTGAAATGCACACAGGGGAATAGCTAAGGCCCCACCCGATCGCTGAAAAGAGAAAGAATGACCATTATCTAATGCTAATTTTTGAAGTTAGAATCTATTATAAATAATCGATCATGCTTAGTTTATTAAATTGTTAGAATTTTCCTTGCATTATTTTAGAAACCTGGTATTCAATATGACATGCAGACAAAATGTTACTACTATGTACTTTACTATAAAAAGTACACGAAAGTGTAGTGTATTTTATACTAATATACAGACTATATATGAGTATAGAGTCATAGATAAGAAGTGTCAGAAGTAAAGTCCCAAGTTACTGTGAGTCAGCTACAGCCTATGGACACAGACTCTTCGCAGCAGCAGTCTACACACGTAACATTTCCTGGCAGCCAGTGCACAATGAGACAACGACCGTCAGCAGGCACCTCTCTAGCTAGTATTAACAGGCATCTCTGAAAGTGTTTTCACTTAATTTCTGCTTAATTCAGACTGAGGTACTGATCTCCTGAGGCGTCTCATACGGTGACCAAAGGGAGAGAAGTGACAGCAGAGAACTGTTCAAAACCTGGACCCCGTATTGAGAGCATCTGTCTCCCTTAGGTGCTCCGTTTTAATTAATCTTAACTAAATTACGTGCCTAAAGACAGACTAGGCTAAAATTTCCAAAACAGCTTGACAGATACTATTCCAGGAAGTTTTTGCTCATTTTTATTTATTTTTATGGTGGAAATAAGTAACAGTAGGAAATCTATAATAAGGATTTACAAATTCCCTACTGTGATGGCCAGAGGACCAATCCAGAATCTTGCTCCCAACCACATTTCACACTGGCTCTAGACACCAGTATGGATTTCTTTCTAGTACAAAGCTGAATTTATCATTAGAGAAATTTTCACAGACTTGAAGGAATAGGGAGTAAATTCAGTTAGAGCTCTGGAGCACTAAAAGTCATGCTCAAAGTAATAATTTTTAGCAGGTGCAATGAAAGTAGTATTTCAGAGGCTGTAAATAAATAAAGGCATTATACAAAGAAATCAGTGTGAGTGCTTGCATGGAGAAGAGAGGAAAAAAGCTCCTACGTGGACTATGGTAGCTTAGGGGTGAGTTGCTGCATTTCCTTCCACAGTGCTGCAGGACAGACAGATCCTGTCTCTTTTTCTCATGCCATCAGGTCTCACATTTTTAACTGTGGAGGTCATCCATTCAGCGACTCAAGGTGGAGAGAGTGAAGTTGATGGCAGCAGGAGACACAAAGCTACCAAACACCGTACGTGGGTTCTGGAGAACCTCGCTGCGGGGCTCATCCTCATCTGCTTTGCTACAGCTGGGCTTCAACTGCTTACTGAGAGGGGCAGGAATTAGCACCTCGACACTTCTTATTTGCTAAAATCTGCTATTAAAATGAACTCCTTGTTGGGCAGTGGAAGCGCTGGCCCTGAGACAGGGCAGCTCACAAGGAAGGGCTACACTGGTTAGAGGGAAACATACACCAGAGAGGTACTGAAATTAGGGAAAGCTGCAAAATCCAGCTCTGCACCCACACAGACACCAGGGAGAAGTGTGTGCAGAGGGTATTGAAAAGCTGCCAGCCAGCAAGGTGAATCACCCTGTAACCCTCCTGTGCTGCTGTTGCTATGCTGCCTTCGGGACTCCTTGGCAATTCGTTCAATCTACCTCAGGTACCTCCAGATCACTTTGCTATGTGAAATGCAGACTTACTCCTACTGCGCTGCTCTCTGTTGTGTTCCCTCTCCAGCTACGGCACCTCCCTGGTGCCCAGAGGGGCACACTGCCAGCCCAAACCTCATCCTCCCCGTCCCCATCCACCTGCGAGCAGGAGACAACCCGCAGAAACCCTGGGCTTCCAAAAGGATCGGTCTTTCCCTGGTGAGTTACAGGGGGATGCCCTGAGCTCAGCCTCGGAAGCAGAAGTTCCAGTCTTGTCCTCTTGGGCTAATGACATATCCTGTGCAAACGGTGTGAACAGAGAAAGGAAGAAAAGGAGGAGGAACAGAAACACCAGGTCTAATAACTGGCAGCGGGGAGATGTGCAACATTAGCCAGGTGCAGAAAGGAGTCCTTCCACTTGGACCAGTTCTGTTTAATGTTTCCTTTCCAGTAAAACTGAGAACTGAATTGAAACAGAGGGGTTTAGGGTACTGGAAAGATGAAATTTTTCTTAGGGAGCTGGGAAGTGCAATTACTTGCTTAATATTAACAAGCAGAACTTTACAACCACACAGCTAAATCAAATGACACATTACCTCATCTTCACTAAAGAGCACGAGAAGGAAATTAGGTTTCATTGTGTAGAAAAATCTTGCCAGACTGTGACTTAATACAGTCCTTCGACAAAGGAGTTTGGCTGACAAAATAGGAGCTGGGCTGCCCTCCTGGAAGGAAATCAAAGTTGTATTGGTCTCCTGAATAGGTCTGTTGGGGAGAAGTTGTCCTCAAGCATCTTCCAACGTGCAGTTACAGAGGCAGCTGTCGTGCTCTGTCACAGCCAGCAAAGGCTGGGCTGGGCACGGGGGTGTCCGGGAGGGTCGCTTGCTAAAGGGTGAGCACTGGCAGCCCTTGTTTCAAAGCGATGATGAGGGCATTTTCCAAGCACAGTGAGGAGCTGGCACTTGCATGTTCTGTACTAACTGGTAACTAGGATCACTCCTCCAGGTGAGATGTGAGACTAACTGCTTTCTGTGCTGTTTTTCTCTAGGAAGCTCTACTCCACTCGCCTTCCATCCCAGATGCTTCCAGCCCATCCAGCTTCTGCAGTCAGTGCTGAAAGGCTGCGCAGGGTCATTTATGCGTGTCTGCATTCCTGGTAGTTACTCAAGCTCAGAGACTGGAGAACTGTCTAAAACAGTGCTTACATTATGCAGAAAGACTTCTGAAGAATATGTAAAAATGAAGTTAAATGAGAACTCCTTACTTCGGTGCAAGGTTACGTTCTACTTGATGAAACACCACAGATTTGTCAGGGTGGATGTCAGGAAGATGGAGGGCATGTCTGAGGCACCTGGAGGGGGAGTGAATAATCCTCGCTTGCTGGAGCGAGTACTCCACATCTGGAGAATAAGAAATTTTCCAATGACCATAGATTTAATAGCTCTTGCTACGAGTCTGTTTCTGTTCAGAGAGCAATATTCACTTTTAGAAGTGAAAGGGACATGCCAGGTCTTCTGCGTCACTTCCTGGGCACCAAGCAGGAACCCAGCAAACAACACCTAGAAACTAGAAAACTAGAAAACTTTTTTCAACTAGAAAAATTCCAGTAGAAATACTGTTCAGTTACAGACACCTCCAGCTGTTTAGACAACTAAGAGAATATATTTCTCTCTCCGCAGCCAGCGCATCACAAGGCCACGCAGTCAGGACTGTGACAGGAGCCTGCCCCAGGAGCCATGGCCCTTTTTGGGAGCAGCTCTCCAACCACAAACCTCTCAGCACAGAAACTGAGTAGCCAGGAAACCAGACCACTGCCTGCAAGCTTTCACTGTGTACACATGTATGAAACAGATCCATTCATCGCCAGTGCAAATAGTAAAAGTTTTACAAAATCCAACTAATTACTAAAAAAAGAAAAAAAAAAAAAAAAACGAAAAAGAAAAAGAAAGAAAGCGTTTGCATAATACAGTAGAACTTCCCAAGCAGAGGTTATTAAACACTAAATCCAGCCCTGGGGCCAGGTGGCAGGGGAAGGCAGGAATAATGCCGGAGGAGAGATCTGAGCCCCAGAACTGAAAGCTCACCGCCAGGCCCTGATGTCCCTCCCCAGGGAGACCCAGCGCTCCCACAGGGGGGGTGTCTGCGGGCTCCGGGGGGGCAGGAGGGAGCTGAGCCCCCGCTGCCGCTGAGCCTGCCTGCCCTGAGCCCTGAGCACCCCACCAGGCTCTGTCCTGCAGCATTTCAAGCCTCGCTCAAGTCAAACAGCCCAAGGGAAAAACACTACAAGTGAGACCACTGCTACTCCAAAAGAGGTAAGAATTCATGGCTGGTTTTATGTATGGCCAGGTAAAATCAATCATAGCTGGAACTGCTCTCAATGTAAATCACTGTGAATAAGGACAGAATGTGGCCCTTGTCTTGGTAACGTTATTAAATTCTCATTTTTGCTTCTTCTATGTTATTAACACCCCATTACCTTATCACACATCCGTGGCAATAAATGGGAATCTACCAGCAAACCAGACCACACGGATACATCCTGGGGAGAAGTATTTTATCTTCCCTTCCCGTTGTTACCTACTGGTCAGCTGTCTGATTTTAGGTTTTATGATACAATTTAATTCTAAAGCAGGAGGAGCAGGAGGCAAATTGAGTAATGCTTGACAGTGGCCGTCAGTGTGTCCATCCAGGGTCTTGGATCTCATCCTTGCAGTATTTTAGTGTGAGCACTAAAATAAAGCATCCACAGTTTCAGAAGGGTTATGATTCATTTTTACTTCAGTAAAAACAGAAAAAAAAAATCTTCTCTGCTGTTTCTGAACATCTGTCTTCCCACTCGCCACAGCTCAGGCCCCAAATGTTTTTTGAAAGGGTCCTGCTCCATCGGGCTCTTTCCACACTCTTCTGCCCACTCTTTGCATCCCTGTATTTAAAATACAACCTAGTCCTTTAAAGAAATGCACTTATTACCTCCTCTCCTACAATTTATGTCACGCGTTCTCTTTTAAAAGTGCTACTACAAGGATGTTTTTAAGACATGGACAGAGAAGTCTTGCTCTCAGTGATTCTGACCCTGTAAAGACTTGCCTGTCTTTCTGGAACCTTACTCACGCTCAGCTCCTAGGAGAGCTGAAAGAAGGATCAGACATCTACCTCAACACAACAGACTGAAAATCAAGCCTGCTTTGGTTTTTATGCCCACTTAGAGATACTTTTTCTTTGCATGCACACAGGCATAGATACACAGAAGTATTTATTTATTCATTGTAGACGCACACATATATAAAATATGTACCTTCTTACAGCTCATGTCTTAATTTCTGGTAGTTCTGAAGGGTGTCAAATTGGAAATGATCAAATGTTTCATTAAAAAA